GTTTACTGTAAGTTAATGCTGTTGTCTTATTGTGCCTGTCATTTTTTGTGTCAGATGGGTTCCTTGTAAATTGATGTGAGATGTTGAAGTCGTCAGCTAACATTGAATTCGACAAACAATTTTTAAACAATAAGCAGATCCACTTTCAAATGAAAAAAATGATGGTTAGGATAGAAATGCAATAAATTCCATGTGCATTGTCATTATCCCATATATATTTTGCATTAAGCAAGCTTTATTCTTTTCTATATGCTTGCACGCACCCCACGGTTTTTGTGTAGAGTCATTTTTTTTTACATATATAAATTTATCTGCAACCAAAAAAATACATATTTTTCGATTGGATGGGCAACAACAGTGGAAAGAACAAGAACCTGTTTGACAGTCAGGTCAACCATTACATAAAGATTTAAAAGGCTTCACTTTATAATAATAGTTTACTTACCTAAATGTATGTGAGACTAATTTACTAGCTTGTATGTTTATTTTGATTGTTCAGTTTGACTATGTGGATACATATATCTCTATATCAGTCTTAAGATAACATGCGCATGACAAAAGCGGATAGTGATATGGTTGAAGATAACAAAAATTGTGTATCAGTTCCTGCCTTCTATTTTTTTTTGTCAGAGATCCTCAAACTACGGCCCGAGATCCAGATCCGGCACGTCGGGTTTTAATAGCCGGCCCTCCTAACCGTCGTTCGGGTAATCGCAACGAATCTGTACCGGGCAATAGCTATCTCACCACTCAAAAGGAGGCCCATAATTTCAATTAAAAAACTATATTTTTACTTTAACACTTTTTTTTTATTCACTGTTACATGCCTTGGCCATATTGTTTGTTATCTCTCATGTGTTAACTTTCGTCACTTAATTTGGTGATATTTTTTCCCCATTTAATTGTACTTTGTGGACACAATCATTATGACTTATCGCTTCCCCCCCCCCCCCCCCCCCCCGCTCACTATCGCCTCCGAAAAGTTTTGTTTGGAGAGTTTGGCAAATTTCAAGAAAAGCTCTAGAAACTCCGTCTTTTTCTCTAGGTTTTTTTTTCTTTCACAATATATCAAATATACGTTGGCCGAGGATCTCAATTAGCTCCATAACCTTTTCAAGAGCGCTCCGGCTTGGTGTGTTTGACATACTGAAGGTTACTTATTTGACTACAGCATTGTTATAACATTGTATTCCAACAGTTTGCTTAGGTTAAATATTACATAATTGAATTATTGCATAATCGTAGTTCTATTTAAAAAGTAATACTTAGTTTTTTGTTATTCTTTAAAAAAGCTTTGGTATCATTAGTTTTTGAAAAAAAAAAAAAAAAAAATATTTTTTATTTTAGCCAAATTTTAAACAAATTGGCATTTGTAAAACCTTGCAATAGAACATAATAAAACATGAGAACTAACCTAGCTGATTAGAATGAGCAAAGGTCGCCCTAAAAAACCTTTCCAGCCACTCTGCAAGATCAAAACTTAAAGAACATTAATAATGCCGGCATCACGCATTTTTTCTTGTCAACTAGAGTTGTTGCTATTTTTTAAATTGGGTTGTAGAGATAAACACACAAAAACCAGAGGTTCTCAAACTATGATCTTCTGTAAAGTTGGCAATTTAATGTGCCTGTAAAACTCATTTTATTTCCACTCCAGCGGCTCTCCCACTCACTTTATTTTCTCTGCTGTTTCTCTCCCACTCACTTTATTTTCTCTGCTGTTTCTCTCCCACTCACTTTATTTTCTCTGCTGTTTCTCACCCACTCACTTTATTTTATCTGCTGTTTCTCTCCCACAACACTTTATTTTCACTGCTGGTCCTGTCGCACTCACTTTATTTTCACTGCTGGGTCTGCCGCAGCGAGTGTTTGCTATCGGAGTTTTACTATTCTTAGATGAGACCATGGGCGCCCACAGAAAACTTTCTAGGGGGGGGGGGGGCAAAAAAATCGATTAACTTTCCAGGGGGGAGCAAAAAATTTTGAGTAATGTTTTAATGTAGTTTTAATTTACTGTAGCGTATTTGTATTGTGAACGAACGGACAGGACATCAGCTTAGTTACTTTCTCTTAATTTTCTCTTTACTTTAATAATTTTTGTGTCTATTTTTTTCTAAAAAATTTTAATCCAATCAATCCAGGGGTGGGGGCAAATGCCCCACCTTGCCCCTACCTGCGGGCGCCCATGGATGAGACACCATACCAGACTTACCATCTACCCGTGGTTATATGTTTGAACTTTCCCAACTGAATAAAATTAAATGTTATCTGAATGACTTTGATAAACGTTTTTCTCATTTCCTTGTATTCTGGTTAATCTAGGAAATTGGATAAAATTGCTCTCATCTCATTGATAACTTGTGCATGATAAAATCTGATAGTGATATCGTTGAAGATAGCAAGAATTTTGTACCTGTTTGTTCCCTCTTTTCTTTTTTTTTTGTCAGGGATCCTCAAAGTACGGCCCGTGGTCCAGATCCAGCCCGTCAGGCGTCCAATATCCGGTCCTCCTAACCGTCGTTCAGGTAAAAGTGACAAATGTGGACCAGGCAATGGCTTTCTCATTCCTCAAAAGCAGGCCCATAATTACAATTAAATGATATATTTCAACATTGACACTATTATTAGATACACTGTTTAACAAATTGGCCATAATCTTATCTTCCCTGTGTTGACATTTGTCACTTAACGTGGTAATAAAGTTTTTGGCACATTTTGATTTGTACTTTGTTGACACAATCATTATAAGTTATATTTCCCCCGATGAGCTCACTATCACTTCCGTAAAGTTTTGTTTGGAGAGTTAGGGGTCATCCATAAAAGACATCCACACAAAAGGGGGGAGGGGGGAGGCTCAGCAAAAAGTGGACTAAAGTGGACAAAGGGGGGGGGGAGGGGGTTTAGGACAAAGTGAATGTCCAAATTGTAGTGGGGTTTTTTTTTAGTGCAGCAGGTTTGCATACATTTACTGCAAAAAACTTCTAATTTAATGACAAAAGAGTTGGGATGCAAACCCAAACAATCTTTCACAAACTGAGTGGTGGTTAAATTTAGAAACGATTTGTTCAATAGTAATAATTAATACGCTTGAATATTATTGTAAAAATATGTTGTTAAAGTTTTGATTTGTCAAATACAATCAAATCTCAAATAAGTTTTGCATGCCTTTTGATCTCTATTGTCCATCGGTGGCTGGGAGAATTTCCAAGGGAATATGTTTCTGCGGTAAATATTTCCCATCACAGGCGGCAATGAAAAAACATTAGGTCGTCCTTTACAATATTCCTGCTAGTGAAGATAACATGGCAGACGAATCAGACGAAGAGACTGCCACTCAAATTGAATTAGCAATTGAAGACTCAAGAACAGGTGTTGTCATTATACGAAACATGTTTGAATGGCTGCAGTCCGAATTTTCCGTTGATTGAAGAATGGTGGATTATTTGTTTATTACAATTATTAATACAGTGATTCAATAAAATGTTTTTGAACAGTTATTATTTCATTTAGAATTTTGCCTGCAAATAATTGGAATTTGTAAAAAAAAAAAATGTGTAAATACATACTTTTTATATTGTTGTACATTTTCCCAAAATATTCATAAATTAAGTTCGGTAAATTTTATTTTTTGGACGTCCACAACTGGGGGGGGGGGGGGTTGGGGGGCAAGTCAAAAGGGGACAAAAGGGGACAGGGGGGGGGGGGAAAAAAANGATTGGTGGATGTCTTTTATGGGTGGCCTCGTAGGCAAATTTCAAGATAAGCTCTAGAAACTCAGTCTTTTCCTCTAGATTCTTTTTTTTTTTTCTTTCACAGATATATAAAATAAAGGTTAGCCGAGAATTTCACTAGCTATCTACACTTTTTCCCTAGAAAGGTTTCCCGGGGGCTTCAGATTATTGTGTTTGAGATTCTAGAGGTCACTTATTTAACAAGAGTATTGTTAAAATATCGCCATTATTTACGTTTGCTTACGTTAAATTTTACATAATTTCATAATTGTAGTTCTATTTAAAAAGTAATACATTTTTTTTTGTTATCCTCTGAAAGCTTTGGTATCGTTTGTTTTTTAAATTAAAAAAAATATATATATTTTTCTTTTTAATGTTGCCAAATTTTAAACAAAGTAGCTTTGTAAAATCTTATAACAGAACCAAACAACACATGAGAACCCACCTAGCTTATTAGAATAAACATTGTCGCACTAAAAAAAAACCTATCCAGGCTCTCTGCTAAAGTTTCAATTAACGAGCATTACTAAAGCGTGTATCACGCATTTTTTGGTTCAAATAGATTTGTTGCTTTTTGAAAGTAAGGGTTGTAGAAATCAACGCACAGAATCCAGAGGCTCTCAAAAAATGATCTCCTGTATTTTGGCGACATTGCTGGTCCTGTCCCACTCACTTTATTTCCCCTGCTGGTCCTGTCCCACTCACTCTATTTCCCCTGCTGCTGCTGTCCCACTCACTTTATTTCCCCTGCTGGTCCTGTCCCACTCAATTTATTTCCCTTTCTGGTCCTGTCCCACTCACTTTATTTCCCCTGCTGGTCCTGTCCCACTCACTTTATTTCAACTGCTGGTCCTATCCCACTCACTTTATTTCTACTGCTCATCCTGCCCCACTCACATATCAGAATCTGTGAAAACTTTTTGAATATTTAAAAAAATAAGATTTCTGATCCACTGTGCCCCGACTCCCCTAATCATATATGCCTATAATATCTATATGAATTGTTTTTTGATGTTTTTTTAAATTTATTTTTTGTTACAGTGTGTGTTGTTTTTATTTACGGACAACCTTTTAAGTTCCTATAGACTTTTACGGTCAAGTCAAGTCATTTTCGATCAATTTTTGCGCACAGTAGTCAGTAGGCAACCCTACTTCCGAACCCAGTGTACAATTCTTGAAATGACTATGTCCGGTAGTACTCGGCACTTTCCGTCGTTACCTTTATTTTCGAGACAACTCGGAAACACTGTCACCTGTACAGCCAATCGCACACCTGGAAATACATTCAACAAAATGGCGTCAATATGTCGCTGGGTTATTTTAATATTGTTGAGTGTAATTGGAAAAGTGAATGGACAAGCAGCGACCACTGGAAATACAGCATTTGATGCTCTAGATGGTTTGGGATGTACCCAGGTAAAATAAATAGAAAAATGTCCAAGAATAAAACTATAGACTACCATAGTATATCGTTGTTTACTATTTTCGATGACATGATTTCTTAAACTGTGTCAAACGATTCTTGTGTTGTATCCGCACTTCCGCATATTTGATGACATTATTTTGAAGTCTTGTATGTATAAATACGATTTGAATCCTAATATAAAAATATAAGCACAGACATAAATAATTATTTTGACCACTTTAACTTTAAAGTATGGTGCATAAATAAATTCCATTGGCATTAGCGTTTTCTATCTATCAAATCAAATACAATCATCATCTATATATCATATTCATATATGGACTTAATTTTAATAATTTTATTCTTATAAGTCATAAGTTATAACTAATTATACAATAATTTAAATAAAATTGAATGACTGATAAACAATAACTTGGACTCTGGGATACAAAAAGATAACCAAATTACAATCTAGCCTAATATCAGTAATATGACATAATATTAATTAATAAACATTGCTCACATATGTAGCTATTATTAGCCTTACGGCCTTAGCTTTAACAGAGAATGAAAAAATAGTGTCTCAGTAAATCAATTAAATAGAAGCCGAAGTCACAAGTGCAAATGTTAAAAATATTGTCAACAAAGCGCAGTAAACACCAGGATTTACACCATGCTGTTCAGATTTAACTAGAAAGGGTCTGTTGGAAGGGAGCTATTTGTATTTGTAGTAAACTATCAACAGCTCAATCATTAACAATAGCTTCTACAGAGCTATTTGAATTTCAGGGGGCTTAACTCCAAGTTGCATAACAGGCTAAAAGTAAAAGTTTAAATGTAAAACAGCTATTGATTTGCTCATATTGTGTAATGCTCACAACTGAAAGTGCCTTTGACATGAGAAATATTTCATTGCCAGTTTCTAAAAAAAAATCACTATAAGATTTTTTTTTTAATGTTCAGAACAATTTTTTTTAGAAACAAAGTTTTTAAAGTAAAAGGACATATTCTCACATTTTCTTTATACTCTGAAATTAACTATCATATTTTTATATTTTATTTCGAAAAAATATGGAACAAATATTGAATTATTTTAAATTATGCATTTTTTTGAAGGGCAGCATAATAGTCTATTTAAAGAATTTTTTTTGTTGTTGTAATTCCAAAATTTTAATTTTGAGACAAATCATGTTTTTTGGGTTTTTTTTGACAGTTCAAAGCCATTATTATGGAAGCCCAGCTTGAAGAGACGTACAGGAGTGCCCAGGCCCTGACAATTTTTGTGTTCAATGACACGGCCTACAACCTCATGCCTCCCTATAGGCAAGGAACTTTGTATGACAAAACTTCACCCAATAACCTTGGCGCCAAGGAGTATATCAACTCTTTTACATGTAAGTGTCATCAGTGGGTTCTTCTGTTGCAATATGCTCAAAATATACATGAATTGCTCTGGCAGATTTGTTGTAAAAAAAATACTTTCTGCTGAATGATTGCTGCATGTACCATTAACCTAATGATGACTTAGATTGTGTATTCCATGAACATGCCTCAATAGAAATATTTACTCTAAAAAAAAAAGAAAGATATATCAATAACATCTCTATTTGCAGTAACTGAGGCTGTTGAGACAGGATCTTTCAGCCCTGATACCCCAGTTAGAACTTACTCTGTGAAGAACAGAAAAGTGTTCCTGAACAAAAGAGAGCTCCGTGTTGGGGTCAGTACTCATGATGTCATTATTTCATATAGTGATCCTTTCAGATTTTGTAAACCAAATTTCTTGTTAAATTTTTTTTTTTTTAAATTGCTGGCAGCCGATTTTCAGTCTTTGATATATCTTATGAAAAGGGAAATCATTTTAAGCATTCAGCATAAGTAAAGTATTTGCACATTCCACATTTACCTGCACTTATCACAATATTTAGCGCCTCTACCCACAATTTTCATAATACAATTTGTCTAGTTAAGTGGAAATAGTTATTACAGTTCTTTTTCTTCTCTCTAGTACTTGTTTGTACTTATTTTTTTTTTCTTTCAAACCATTAATTTCAGAATGTTGCCAGTGGTTTACCTGGCCCCACCAGATACTTTTGTAATGGTGCCATGGTGATAAGACCAAACATACAAGCTGGCCAACATCTCATCCATGTCATAGATCAGGTCCTGGATATGCCCTGGGAACAGAATGCCATCGCTTATGTCACCGGATACAATCCAACTGGGTTGACGTAAGTTTTTAAATTTTTTTTTGTTTTGTTAATCACTCGGTGCCATTTTGTATTTGAAAAGATTTATGTATATATTTTATTAAGGAAATTAATTGAACTAAATTATCAGATTTTGAATTATCATTGAAAATGTTAACAATACAACACTACATTTAGTACCAGGATTGTTATTATTTGAATTAATAATGAGCATCAATATTTGTTAAATAATATTATAATTAACCATAATAATCTAGATCTTCAAGAAACATATAAATTAAATATAAATAATAGCTCAAAATAAATTAAATAAATGCAACATATGTGTTATTTTTGTGCTCAAAATTTCTTAAACCTCGTAAGGAAAATATTTATAGTAGCTTCATAATAGCTGTATAGTAGCTCTTATGAAATGTTGTACTTAAGAGCCAGGAGTGCTCATGTCCATTCAGCCTACCAAGCATTACCTGGAAGGATGTGGTTGACAGTGCTGAGGCAACCTTCTGCGAGTTCTTAAAGACCTTTGGAGCTCGGGTCGCCCATTTGTATTCCTTTTGTAGATTAGATATGGGTAAAATCTTGTATTTTAAATCTTTGAAGTAAAGCGGTATATTTTTTGTGCAGTATAAACCAGGGCTGTAAATAACACTTAAGATTGATTAAGATCACAATATTTGCCTAATGATGTCTTTTCACCTAAACAATGTTCGGCCTCTTCTTCTTCAGTTTAAAATTTCTCTCCTTCAGATTCATGTTCTTCAGCAAGATCATGGAGTTCCTGAGACGTGCCCCTCAAGAAGATGGTGAATACAACTACAACAAGCAGGTCCAACAGGTTCTCTCCTCTAACCAGGTCACGTTCTTTATTCCCTCGGACGAAGCTCTCAATTTGATTCCCCCTCAAAAGCTGAGTGAGCTTCAGGGTAACCTCAGACTTATGCTGGATGTAAGTAACTAGCTTCTATCACATTTTTTTCTTTAGAAGCTCTTGTTTACAATTGACTGTTTAAGAGATATTATTTTTTTAAAATACTTGTCCTTTTTTTTTTTTTTTTTTTTTTTTTTTTTTTTTTTTTTTTTTTTTTTTTTTTTTTTTTTTTTTTTTATTTTTTTTTTTTTTATCTTTTTAATATATTTTTTTTTTTTAAAATTATTTTTTTTTTTTTTTTTTTTTTTTTTTTAGTGTTTTTAGATACATTTTTTGTTTCATTATTATTTCCTTATCAAATTCTAATTTTTCCCCAGATCATAACTCTCCATATTGTCCCCAATCAAGTTTTGTACACATCACTAGTTAACCACAACGAAAGGTTTAACACACAGTTTAACTCAGGTGCGGTTGTCTTCAGGAAGAACTTCAACAGAGAAGCTGGTAAGAAATTGGTTGCTTGATCCTAATACCAAAGTCAGGTTTTGGGGAGTTTAAATAGAAACAAAAAGCCTTTTTCTATATATTTATTAATCTTCCCGCCTAAATACTGATGATTTTGTAAACATGACTTAAAATTGTGCTGACAAAAATAAAGTTGGCAGTAACAATAACTCAAAAAAAGTGTTGAGCTCTTCTGTTAGTTTGTTGTAAGTTTCTTTAATTTTTTTTATAGAAATTGGTGGAAATTTTTTTGCTCATTTCCCACTGTTTAAATATTTTTTTAAAATTTATGAAAGATTTTTTGCAATGCTTGCCCAGGCTATGACATTTTTTAATTGGTTTGGTATGGGAAATGGCACACCCCTTTATCACTTACAAAACAAACATCAGAAAATGCTGTCGGAGAGTCACACTAATGAACATTTTATTCCTGTTTGAACATGAAGTATTTTTATTTTTTATGTTTGATCTCTTCTGTTCTTGCAGTGTATGTGACTGGATCCCTAAAGGGAGGTAGAACTGTGACAGCAAAACTGAATCCTGCCAACATTACTGTGCTCAATGGAGTTGTCCACCAGATTGATTCCATCATGGGCTTTGTTTACAAGACAGCTGTTGAAGAGATTTCAATTGATCCCAATACTCAGTAATATTTAATTTTTAAATTGTACCTTTTTTTAAAAAGAAACTAATATATGTCCATACACAGTTACTGGTGAATGTACTATTAGTGATTGTAGTCCTCAAACTAAAATCTATTGTTTTAAATTTTACTGTCTTAGGCTATGCTATAGATTCTTATATTTTGGAACTCTTTTTTTTTTTTTTTCTTATGTCTTAACTCCTATGATTTTTTTTTATTACTCAGGACTTACTGTATAACTGTATAAGGCTTATTCATCTGTGTGAGTTTAACAATTGCTTCTTCTTTAACTTTTCTCAGGAATTTTGAGCAGTTGGTTTATGCAGCCAGGAAGGATCTCCAGAATGCCCTGACCGCCACCAGTGGGGTGACAGTTTTTGTCCCAAACAACCAGGCCATGTTTGCTGTGGCCAATGTGTACCAGAACTACATCAACAACCAGTCACTCCTTAATATGGTGCATATATTTTTATGCTTGTTGTTTATAAAAATAAAAGAAGGAAAAGCTTTTTCAAAAAATTTCAGTACAGGCAATAATGTCACAGACTTTGAAATATTGGCCGTTTCATAAAAAATACAGTGCAGTGAAACCTGGATTTAGCAAACCTTGAAATAGTGTGTTCCTGGCATATTCACTGACTTACCTTGGCACTGATTGCTTCACAGCAATATAAATGTTTAGTTGCCTAGGTTTTATTTCCAGAGCCTAAGTTTTTAAAAAAATGTTACCAGGTGTAATATATTTCACAGTGAAATATAAACATCACTTTTTAAATGGATTAATCATACTTTTTTTTCCATTTAGATCTTGGAGATGAGCATCTTACAACAAGGTCAGACCCTCAATCTAATGGACCATTATGGAAATTATGAGTCTTACAATACAGCCGTATCACGATACAATGGACGTTTGATTAAAGTTTATAGCGAAGGCAATGGTCAGTAGATCTGTATTGGATTTGTGGTGATTTTTATCTTGTTTTGCTCTGACAATATTTTGTGCTGTCAATTTAGGTTACTCTATGACCCAGCAAACTTGTGGGGAACTTTGATTAGTAACTTTAAAAATTCTTTAAACAATATTTTTGACCAAGAATGACTTTGTGTCTCTCTTAGCTATATTTTAATTTTAAATATGCTAAGAAATAATGTAAAACATGGATCCATTAGAATAACAATGTTATACCAAAAATAGCTTTGTTTCTTACTTAGCTACATTTCTATTTTGAAATATATGAAGAAAAATGATAACACATGGATCTATTAGAATGCTTTTTGGTTACATTTCTAAAAGTAATAGGCTTATTTTTTTAAAATGGCAAAATTTTAACCCATCATCAAATTATATTGTTTCAATTTCTGTCAATGTAATTTATAGGATTTTTTTTATTTTAAGATACCTGGGTTGAAGGAGGCTACGTGAAAGCAAGGGTCATCAAGCCAGACATTGGTGTGACCAATGGAGTTGTCCACCAGATTGATGCTGTCTTCGGTGTGCCAACTCGTGACTTAGTCTACACAATCTACTGTGAGGATTGGCTTGTGTAAGTTCTGCAAATAGTAAAACAATTACACAATCTGATGTGACGACTGGCTTTTGTAAGTACTGCAAATACTAAAACAATTACACAATCTGATGTGAGGATTGGCTAATGTAAGTACTACAAAAAGTAAAACAATTACACAATCTGATTTGAGGATTGGCTTTTGTAAGCATTACAGATATTAAAATGATGATAAGTTACCTTAATAAATGGAATATTGGCTTGTGTTTAAACAAATTGTTTTCTTTATAAAAATAAATTTTCTAGAAAAAATAAATATATGTTTAAATGTTTTTAATTTTCTGATTTCTCCTAACTTCTGAAAATGGAATTTATACATATTCTAATTGTCTTAAATAATCTTTTTTGCTTTATTTCATTAAAATGTATTGGGTCTCAAAGATACATGTCTTTCCACTTCATTTATAACTTCAATACACATTAAAAGGTCTTACCAACTTTCAGTTTTGCTTTGCCACGCAGCCAAAATTTGTTGCTGTTTGGTTTGGTTTAAAAAAAATTAATTGTGTTTACCAATTAATTTTTTTTGCTACCCCAGGTCGACCTACATCCAGCTCCAGTATGTAGGACTTGATAAGTACATGAGGGACCCGACACTGACCAAGAATCAAGAATGCACCTTCAGTGCCAGTGCACAGGCTGGCAGCTCTGCACCAAGTGGTGGAACCTGGAACACAGGCAACCAGAACACAAACCAGAATAGTCAACTGTATGATCAGTATGGAGGTCTCTGTGGAGATGGCCTGCATCGGTCAGTTGGGGATATTTCCTTGCAATTTTTAGGGGGGAAAAAAATGATAATTAAAAAATTTATTTTTATCTTAAAGATGATAAATCCTTTGAAGTTTTCAGATGGGACTTTTATTTCATAGATCAGTAGTAAAATTAAATAAATACTTTATTTTATAGGCTTTACAGTTGTGATTATTATTGACATATCTTTGTTAGTTGCAATATTTTGTACATTTTAATTTTAATGTTAAACCTCACTTGATTTTCAGTTGTGAGTTTACATTCTTTGTTCCCAATGGAACAGCCATTGACAACTTTGCACTGACGCCTTATGGGAGACAAATCATGAATGATGCCAGGAGATGGAGATGGGTGAGTTGAGTTGAATGGCACCCTGTAACATAGTGACGCTGTCCAGTTCAGATGCATTTCATGGAGCTATAACTATACCATGAGCAACTGAATCTGACGTCTGTTTCATTTCTGCATGGGACAATATCAATTCTGAGTGTGTAAGCAAAATTAGCCATCAAATTGGAAAGATTTTATAATAATAATAATAAAGTTCATTTCAAAAACACACTTCATCCCTAAAGGCTCGAAGCGCCGTACAAAGTCAACAAAAAACAAAGCTATAATTTACCACATTTAAAACAAACGCAATACTACAAAAACTAATTACAAGCATACAATGGCAACGTCTTTCTAGCCATTTCAACCCTAAGCAACACAGCCATTATGCATTATAAGCTAAATTCCAAATTGGCACGCATTTAAAAATTTGACTATCTATGAAAAAATAGCTGTGGTCTTACCATTAAAGTTGGTGGTGTCATTTTCTTTGCTAAATGAGAGTGGTGGGGATTTAAATTCAGTTACGTCCATTCAGAAATCCAGGACCAGTAGATTACAGATTTACCTAAAGCATGTTACGGTCACAAATGGAAATTCTTTTTTAATTTGATGACATTTTTGTCATTAGTCATAATTTGTAAATTAATTTCAGATCCTTTCTTAGGTTTCATGAGGCACGGGGAGGGCAAGGGTTTCATCCAGCCTTTGTTTTACTTCCAAATTTAGCAATGACTATCTCCTTCATCAACTCACTCTTACGCTCTCTCTATCTCAATCCTTGTATCCACACATGTGTTTATTTTTCTATTCCTGTCATCCACCGCACTTTAGTGCAAAGATTTTGCTACCAATCCTCCCTGATAATTTCTCATATTTTAAAAAATCTTCAGATGGTAACTTGAAATGGACCAACGCACAGCTAACCTAACTACCATTTGGAGATATTCAGACCTTTTTAAGACTTTGACTCACATTTTTTTTGTTCTCTTTTCAGCTTCTGAGGCGATTAGTAACTTACAGAGAGAAGATCTATATCGATCAAATAGCTGCAGGTGCCCCCAGGAGTTTCTATGCTGACAATGGCGAAGAAATAATTGTGCAGACTGATTCAAGAAGTAACATCCCCAGTGGACAGAGAAGTAAGTGCAAAAAAATAATTTCTAATGTTTAATTAATAAACTTTTTATGTTCCTTGCCCAATAAATTTCTCATAAAATACAAGCGATAGATCTGCTTTTAATTTCTCAGAAGTATATTTTATGTCAGTAACGGTAGAATTTGAATTTACCAATATTCCTGTTCTCCAATGAACTTAAACTGCATTTAGTATCACATTCATAATTTCTCCTTCTATGCTTGGATTTTATAATGTTTTCTCAACAATTTGTAATGGCATGACACAAATTCTGATCACTGAATTAATAACATTAAAAAATAGTGAATATCATCTCCTTCCATGTGCATCCGCTCTTAATCAGGGGTTTCCAAAGTTTAAAGTTTGGTGGACCGGTAGACAACTTTCCCATTGCACCATGGCCCGTGACAGTTTTATTAAATTTTTTAAATCTTTTTTGACTCAAAATATTTCATAAAATAGTTTTCTTATCCTCAATTATCCAGTGTGAGAGAACTCTGTTAACTATAACCATTTAACGCTTGCTGCTTTAATTATTGATATTTTCTATTATGGCTGTTAAACTTTTGAATTTTTTTGCATTCATTTTCTGGTCTCATTATGTGCGGAAGGGCAATTAAAGGCTTGCGGACCGGTGCCAGCAAATGAAACTGTGAAACACTGCTCTAAATGACTTTATTTCCATTCTGAATGGTTTTATTATGCAATAAAAATTGTTTGTTATCATTTTGTCTGTTTAATTTGTCATAAGGCATTTTTTAACTGATTGTTCCATGTTGCTATGCCATATGATGAAACCTCTTTTTATTTCCCCCCACTCCAGTTGCCTACATAATGTTTGAAGGTATAAGAGCTCAAATAGTCCACTCTGACATCGGCGCCACCAATGGCGTTATACACATCATCAGTTCATTATTATTTGTGCCGGAGGACCTCGCCCGTGACATAAGCGGAGTGGCGAGGAACAGCCAATCACTTTACTATGTTTTAATTTTTAGTATACTTGGAGCTTTAATAACGAAAATAAGATTGCTGACAAGCTAATGAGAAACTTTATCTTTGTATATAAATCCCTTTTTTGATACCCTTGTACAAAATGAAATGTGAACATAATTTCCTCAGACACTGTGTATATACAAATGATTCTAAATTTCTATTGTCTTAGACTATATATATATATAGAGTCTGGATTGTAATGCTCATTCCTATTCGAATTAAACACTGCACGCAGTTCTCAAATTTTTTTCTTCCTTTTTTTATACCACTGTTGAAAGTCAGTTTCAGAATACTATTGCAATATTGAATCAAAACTAGCTGTACTGTAAATACTCTTGCTAAATTTGAAATAATTATCGCGACACAATTTATTCAACTCATGACCGCTAAAGGATACTTCATTGGACCTATTTTGCAAATATTATGATATTTTGCCCTCTCCACACCCTGACTGCTCTAGAACTGATTTTGATTACACAACATTCAACATATCACAAATTAATAGTGCCTTATGTAAGTTTATAATATTTACTAAAATAATTTTTGTTCAGCAAAAGTAATTCAAAGTAATGATTTTCTATTTGCAAGTTAGACTGTCACTGCAATAGCTTTCTTAAACAAATATTTTTATTACATCCAAAGACATGATTAGCACCTATACAGTTGTAGATTCTCCGTTTCATATTTGAATGCTGATCTGCAAAAATTCATTGTATCTAAGCTCTTTTTCTGTCTGTTGCATATTTGATTTGTTATTTAGTATACACATTTTTTAAGTTCATAATTTATAAAGTCCCTTGATTTAAAAAGACAACCATTCCTGTCCAAGAGCAGGAATGTACTTGTTGATTAATTTATGTGTTGTTTATTATTTTTTATATATTTAAGAAAATTAATAAGTTGTTAATCACTTACTTTAAAAACTTATTTAAAATCTCAAGCTTCTTAGTTAAAGCTCTGAGGCATTGCAAGTCTTGTATAAATTTTATGGGAGTGGGTACTTTCCAATTTTCTCAAATGTGTGCCAGAGATTTCAAGAGGGCCCAGCTAAAGTCTTTTTACATGTTGTAATTATTTGAATCCAGTATTTTCGTTTATTAATGCAGAAAAGTGAGTCAAGTTATAAATAGATCATTTAATTTAAAATATAAAAATGTAACCCGGATTTTCATAAGTTCAATCTGTTTTTTAATGGATACAAATTTTTTTAAATTTTAGTTTAAAAATAAATTCTGTATCTGGAAGGAACTCGGACTTATAAACTCTTATATATATCAATTGAAATATTGTGTGTTTTTGCACAGTATTTTAGGTTTATTGTGGCAAAAAAAAATTTGTAGAAAAAATATGTTTTTATTTCTTCAAGACATTCCATTTGCTCACTGTTGCCCTATACATATTTCATGTCGTTTTGAGAGTATGTTCATATATATTCATGATGTCATTTTATAATGGTCATTATTAAATTACTGGAGTTCCCCCACAAGGAGAGGAACTTGTGTGAACTTTTAAGCTGACATGCAAGTGAACATTGCCATTGTTAAATAGATCGAACAACGCTCAGGACAAATTGTAGTGATTTAATCACAATTTTCTGTCAACGTCTTTAAACAATAATGTTAACATTTTATGTACATAATTTATTTTTGAAGTATGTTTATTTTTTTAAGATTACAAGGGGAGTGTCATTGTAATTTTTAAAATTACAAATCTTTTCACATTTATAAGTTAATTGTAAACGGTTACCGAAAATTTCATCAAAAGAAATTTCATCGATGGTAAATTGACTGTAATTTGATCAAACGGAAATTTGGTCGAATCTTTTTTCAGTTAACACATTAAAATTTTCTTCAAATTTCTTTTTGAACGCACTATACTAGATACCAAAACAAAATAATGCGTTCAGAAAGATATTCAAAGCAAAATTTTAACTTAAAAACTGGAAAAAAATTATTCAATTTACCGTCTGCGAAATTTCTTTTGATCAAATTTCCTGATATGATTATAAACAATTGTAAGATATTTTCATTTAAACATCTGAAATCAGCCATGATAAAAATGCATGAAATATTTTTAAGCTGTTTCTAAATGATGTTAGCTAGGGTCGCTAAAGTAATCTTGGGTGGAATGCTGGTTACAGTTAAAAGTTGGCGGATCCACTGTAATTTTATTCCAACCTGTCATTCTCATGAGGCATTCATAAAATCAACTCTGGTTCTGTGTGTTTTATGTGGACCTTTGAATCTTTATGTCCTATTGATTTTATGTATCAAATGTATGTAAATATTTTTAATGAGCCAATAACGATTACCAATTTGTTCGCTGTCTCTGTACATCAGTTTTCAATGTTTTTAAATACATTTATTTTCTCTTACTTCAAAGTGCATTAAATTTTTGTTTTTTGGGATTTATGTTTCACAGCTTATCTGATTATTTTTATTTTTAAAATTAAACCTGAATTCATGCAAAATTTGAATTTTTGGGACCTTTTGAGGGTCAATTTTAACTGAAAGGCTAAATGTTGCCCTGGTGCTAATCTGTGTCTGAACACAATCAATCGTTAGAGAGTCTGGTAACTGATTGAGAACTGTGGTTTAGTCTGGTAACTGCTAAAAACTTTGGTTTTCAAATTTGAGCTATTTTAAAGTTCAATGGGCTAGATTGTCATTAGATTTTTAAAAATATTTACTATTGTCACATTTCTTTTTTTTTCTCTTGTACATTTACGTCAAAACATATATTTATTAAACATTACGTAGGATGATAGATGTACAAAATTAGATATTTAAACGTGACATAGATATTGAGTGACATATCATTGGGGGGGAGGGGGGGGGTCTGCTATGTGTAGCTGGTGACAACTGCTTTAACCTTCAGTAGAAATAAAAGTCACATTATGCAAAAAGGAATGGGTTTTTCTTTTCTTTATTTTTCTTAAACTAGCTGATGTTCTTAAACAAGAGAGTTTTATACAAAAATTATAAAAATTACGTACATAAATATTTTGTATTCATTGAAAATCTGATGCAATTGTAGGTCTATAAAAACTACTTTCTCATGTGTAAATATTTCACTATATCATTTTTGTGGAATTTCAGCTTGTGTTTTATTTTATATTTGTTACAAAGTGAAGATGCTTCTCCAATGTTGTAGCCTTTGACACAGATGTAGAGTAAATACTTTGTACAATTTTTTTTTCCAAGAAAGGGCTGCAGATAATCAGAATTTATTATCTAAGTTACTGAACTCCATTTGTTTTACAGAATGCTACCTATCTTAAGCTTCTTTTAAAAAATCCCCACTTTACTTCATTATTTTTTTACCCTAGTGATCATTGGACAATTTTTTTTTCTCTTTCTTTCCAAAAAGTCTGAGATAATTTTATCTCTACTAGTAATCAATTAAAATACAACCTAAAGTATTTCCAAAACAAAACCAAAAAAAAATTTAATGGATATAATTTGTAAAGATAACATGTAGTATAGTTGGCAGTGTCTTCAGCAATGCCAAGATTAAACAAATTTTTAGCTAAATTGTAATTTAAAATTAGAATCACTTGACATATCATTTTTTTTTGTTCATTTATTTGATAATAAGCTGGGGCGATGCAACCATGTCGCATGTGTAAAATACGAGAAGAACTGCATAATCTATAATAATAATTCCAGATGGAGCTCCATATATCCACCAATGCCTGAATGTGTTGAGTCTATGTAGAGTGGGTGGTGATGGATTCTGATGCTGTTTTCTTTTGCGTTATTGATCGTTATTAGTGCCATTTTAGTAGGGTATTTACGTGTACTGACACCATGCTTGTTTTAGACTTGGCAGTTTTGGAATCATTGTAGGGCACCCTGTTTGAACACAGCACGTTGGGGTAACAAATGTGCTCTTTTGTGTACATTTTATGGGGGGAAGCTGCAAATGAAAGCAGGGCACAACAAGAGTGTGGGCAGAAAAGATCCATTCTGGAATTGTTATTAAATGTTCTCTGTAAATTTTCTTACTTAGTGACTTAGTGTTGCCACATTTTAAATTTATTGCTATACACTGATCCTTGTAAATGTTTTTATTTTTTAATTTTACTTTATAATGGCACAAGATCTTATGTGATTTAATTTTCATACTTGTTATTTACATTTTCACGATGTATCGTATTTTTCAATAGAACCATCTGTTGTTGCTGTTGTTCTTTTTATATTTGTTTTATTTCACAAGCATATTTTTTCATTGGCTTAGATGTGTAAAAAAAAACAACAGATACCAGACATGCCACAACTTGAGAGCTCCTGAATACAATGAAAATTCTATTCTTTGTGTACATGTCCCCCCGCAACTATGAATTATAAATACATTTTAAATTTTAAGTGATTTTTTATAATTTCAGTTGTGAATGACTAATGTTAATAAAAAGTAGCAGCAGATCCGAAGCATGTATAGTAAATATGTAATGAATGTAATGCCATTCAAGCAGTTGTAATTTTACATTTAAAATAAAAATCTGGAGAAAAAAAAATCGTGGATAAGTATTTCAATATTTTGTTAATGTTTCCTTATAAGCAGATCAAGGAGATCATTGTTCTCCAATATATATAAAGTTTCATGGAGTAAATATTAAACCAACTCTTTATATTAGGAACAGGAAACTACAAAGCTGAACTTCTGGCTCATATGCAATATGCCAGAATCGAAGTCTTATAACCAAATTTAAGAATCAGATTAAATCTTTCAATCAGATTAAATGTTGAGAGCGGCATTAAATTAGTTTTAGCCTTTAAAAAAACTCAGCTTTCAATTTTGAAGCGCTGTCACTAGCTCCAATTTCAAACGCTGCATTTTCAATGTGTTTTCTGTTACCCTGTTAAATGAATAACTCTAGCACCACATTGCATTTTAAGCATGTGTTTAAGAAAGAAAGAAACAAAAAAAATCAGCTTTCTTCATCATGAATGAATCCACTAAATATTTCTTAAATAGTATGTGAGAGACAAACATTTTTATTTTCCATTTACATATGCAGACACAAGTACGAGATAATAATTAGCAAAACATGACTTTCACTCATGAATTAAGAAACATTCTTTTATTATTAAAAGTAATTTCTAAAAAAAAAGATGTACAGGATATTGAAAGAAACCGGCTATTTTTCTAAATTTGTCATTATTGTCTGTGCTTGCTTTAGTTCTGAAGAAGGAGAAAAAAAACAATGACAAGGTTAAATTATGTTGATTGTATTTAGATACCACGATTGGCAAGCAGCATTGCAATAATCTAGATGGAATGATAATTGTACAGTTAGCTCTCTGTCCTACTTGATCAAATTAAGAAAAGATGCATTATTTTAAGCCATCTTTTTACTAATCTCATCTTAAATAAAGTGGTCGACAGAAACACTAGACATGTTGCAAACAGCTGGCTCTTAACCAGGGCCAGGCATGTATGGACCATAAAAACTTGATGTCCCACCTCTGGCATTACAAGAGATTCAGTTTTGGGGATGTTCCCTCAGCCGGACACAGAGGGTGGCTGAACAACTTATCAGGTTGAACTGAATATAAGCAATGACCTTAATACACCACAAGGGGTTGACAGCCCCAATTCGAGAAGGACTGTGTGTTGCACCTAGTGGCTAGGATGAAGGACTGTGTTGCACCTACTGGCTAGGATGAAGGATTGTGTGTTGCACCTAGTGGCTAGGATGAAGGACTGTGTGTTGCACCTAGTGGTTGGATGAAGGACTGTGTGTTGCACCTAGTGGCTAGGATGCAGGACTGTGTGTTGCACCTAGTGGCTAGGATGCAGGACTGTGTGTTGCACCTAGTGGCTAGGATGAAGGACTGTGTGTTGCACCTAGTGGCTAGGATGAAGGACTGTGTGTTGCACCTAGTGGCTAGGATGAATGACTGACTAGGTTTCACCCCACTTTCCAACAAATTTCTTAACATGCAGCGCAGCAGTGTCGGTCTGAAAGGACAACACTGTCTTTCCTGAATGATGATCACGCACAAATATCTGCTAGCTGCCGACCTACTCACCATGCAATAAAATTCTAAACTTGTCTGCGGTGAGAGTGAAGGCTACGGGCTCTGCTGCTCTGGTGTCTCCTGGTCTGATATCTAATTTAAGCTGCACGCTTGGTTCATTCACTTCCTGAAATGTAAAAAGACATGTAAGGGGAATGACCTTTCTGCTATGATCTAGTCAGTCATCAATTCATCCATTGATAAAAAAATATAAAAAAAATTTTCAGCTACCAGATTTATGAAATTTTAATCACAAGAGAAATTTGAGTGTGAAATTATTGTTTAAAATATAGAAACATTTACGTTATTTATGAAACATGTACGCACGCAAATCTCTATCTCACATGTCATCAATTCTACAACATTACTATTGGAAATGTTATGGGTTTGTATTCCTGACCTCGAGGTTTGACCCATTCTAAGAACTGGCAATGACAGATAACTCTTAATTACACTACAAAAATTTATGTTTTTTAAATTATAAGTTAAACTAACCTGAAGCTCGCTGGAACTAAGGACATAATCCACTCTCCACTGGACAGAATCTAAATTGGATACTGTGGATATGTAAATATGGTTCTTAGATTTAATTTTAAGCTTGTATCAATTGCCCTGAATGGTTTTTAATAATTAAGTTTTATAACTAGATGAATAGTGCTCCATCTCACATACAATAAATTGCTAATTAAAGTGCTCTATTGCCCATAAAATAAATAACTAATTAAAGTGCTCCATCTTCCATACAATAAATAAATAACTAATTAAGTGTTCTATCTCCCATACAATGCACAACTAATTAAAGTGCTCTGTTGCACATACAATAATGAACTAATTTAATTCTCTATGTAATTTTGGTACTCTATCACCCATACAATAATTTGCTCATTAAAATGCCCTATCTCCCATATAATAATTAGCTGCTGATTAAATTTGATTAATGCTGTGGTAAATTGTGTATTGACACTTTACCATCTCCATCTGATGTGAAAGCAATGATGCCTAATTTGATAATTAATTTCCCCACAAAGTATATATTATAAACATAATGTTCCCTCCCTTGTTTTGTTCATTCAGTATGACACAGTTTTCCTATAAATTGAGTACCGTAGCCTTCTCTACACATGGGAATGTTTGTCTGAGTTTACAATTTTAATGTAGTAAATTCCTCATTCTTACCTCTAAGGCTGGTGTGCCTAAAGTGCTCTTGGAGATTACCTTGGGCATCTGAGTATGACTTGCACAGTGAGGTTGTGTGCTCTAGGCAAAAGACAAGAATAATTTAGGACTTTTAACGCACACACACACACATCATGAATTGATTTACATAAAAGTTTTAGTTAAGACTTCTAACAAGAAATTCCCTCAGGGAATTTACAAACAGGCCTTAGGACTTAAATTTTAAAAAATTTATCTGTACAAATTTTATGTAGCTAAGATGGCAGCTATTTTCCTAAAGGGTTTTCTGCTACCGATAAAAAGCAAAATAGCTATTAATTCAGTAGTTTAGAATTATTTGAAAGGGAGTGAATGATGAAAGGTTCATTTTCTCACAAGAACTACAGAATTACCTTTGGGTAGACCAAGCTGCTGTAGCTCATTGGCCAGAGTGTCAGAGTCCACATCGTACTTGGCAGCACTGGCCAGGATAAATGACAGTGCAGCAACCGATGCTTTTATGTCCCCAATTTCTGGTCGTGGAATGAAACAATCACATGAACTGGTGTTAACAGTTGTTGTTCTTCTTTTTTTTTAATTTGCATCATAATTTGGTGGGGAAAAATCAAGGAGCATTTATCATTTTAAAAATAAAATATTGAATTCTTTAATTAATTAAAGTATACATTTTATAAGAAAGCAATTTATTTTTAATGCTTCAGGTTTTTTTTTTTTTTAACAAATTTTTGTAACAATTATAAGTTTAAATAGTTTATAATACCGATGATGACTAACAATATTAGGTGGAAATCATATCCTGAAAGGATCATAGAATAATGAACATACCAAACTTGGCATCGGATGTCAATTTTTGAACTTTGTCATACTGAAAAAAATATGTTCACATTGTCATGGAGAGGATTTGTTTATAAGCAAAGTATTCTGATTACTGGTGTGTGCATTAAAAAAAAAATTATTATAATAAAACACAACATAAATAAATGTGTATTTGAAGTCACCCTACATTTTATGGTAGTGATAATTTATACCATTTCCTTATTATAAGTGTACACTTTCTGTCAGATAAGCCAGATAAATATGTAACAACCCACACACAGAACCATTCATACATTACGTATTGGTAACAATTTGGTTAGTTAACGTCACATAAAAATATTGGTCAGTCTTACATCTATGCCTTGTCCTAGCATATCTTTCAACACCTGAACTGCTAGAAGTTTCATCTTGACAGATGTCTGCAATCAGAGATACAAATTAATATGTGGAAATATTTGAAATAAAGTATTGCTAACATTTTTTTTTAAACTTTAAATATATATACTGGAATAATGGTTGTGTAGCTCAATAATGTCTTTTAATTCAAAGATTTAACAGATGCAATTAAACTGTTTGACATTTAATTTTTATAAGTGTTACGTTACAGGGCAGCTAGAGCATGAATTGTATAGCACAAACTATTGTCTGCTTGAATGAAGTACTGAAAAGTGGTGGCCTATCCAGGCTTATGTTAACTTACATCACAGGGGGCAAAAAATTGATACAAAAGATTTCATTCGTAAAATAAAACATCATTCCTTCCAAAAAAAAGGTGCAACTTTTCAATTTAAAAAAATATTACTGTGAAAAATGTCAAATGAAAATTAATTGTTCCCCACTTTACTGTTACCAATACTGGAAACAAGTCATTTAGTGGAATATGTGGTATAGGGAGGAAATGATAAAGTGAAATGAGTGACATATTGAAATTAGCATAATTGTGAAATGAGTGAGACACTAACTTTAACAGGAATGCTGTCCATTTTGTTTATATTCTGCTTGTAAATATTATTTTGTTGCGAACAATTTTAAATGTTTATTTTAAAATATTAACTCACTATCTTGGAGAGTATGTTGATTTCTGCCAAGACCCAATCAGGGCAGTCTAAGTCACCACAAAATCTGAATCTCTGGAGAAGAAGAAATTTTATATTATAGACACATCCAGTCAGATATGTAATAGTTTCAAAGATAAAACAGTACCATCTTTCTTAATTTCTGGGTCTAGTTACATAACAAGAAACAGGCCTAAATTCAACCTATTATACAAAAATATAATCACCCATTTAATATAATTCAACTTATGTAAGTTGCAAAGTGTCAGGATAAAAATTCTGTTGCCCCCAAACTACTCCACATCATCACAAATCGGTCTCTAAATGTACACACCCTCATAGCACGTTGTCAAAAAATTGATGACACCCCCCCCCAACCCAAAACCACCACCAAAAATAAATGCACGACCTTAATTATAAAGCATTCCACTGATGTCACAACTGCCCCATAAGTTAAATGGACATTTCAGCTAGATGCTTTTTGTTTTCAGCAGACAATACAAATCAAGAAAAACAGATCATTAAAATTAAAAATGTGTATGCTAATGTTAGAAACGGAAGTTAAGTTGTTCAAAACTCAAAACGTGTTTCCCACATTATAGGTATATTATCAATATTAAAACAAACTTCAACAAATTATTTGAAAAAAAAGTTTATGACTTATGTCAACATAATTTATTAATCAATCTTATCTAACATTAGGAACTTTAAACGGTGTCCATCGGTGGCTTCGTATTTATATATAAAGCTGCCTTGTAAAGTTAGGATAACACAGTGACAACTTTTTTAAATCATGCAGATCATCTTATATACCGGTAAATTATTTGCTCTCCCTCACCACTTTTTATTTTCCAGTCACTAGGCAACAGGGATATAATTTGGACAGAAATTAAATATAATTTATTCAAATAAACTTTTCTATTTTATTACATAAAGGCAAAAAAAAATAAAATATATATTTTTTTTGTATTGCTTAGATCACATGTGTCAAACTCAAGGTTCGTGGGCCATATCCAGCCCGCCACACAATTATATCCGGCCCGCCTTACAACTATATCTGGCCTGCGAGGTCTTGACCGGCGTACAATTATATCCTAGTCAATGCTATGGCGTTTCCCAATGCACACTTTGCTAAAAACCTTAGCTTACTTCGCACCGAGATCACACAGCACTATAGTGATTATGAAGCACAGAAATGTAATTTCAAGCTGTTTCATAACCCATTTGTGGAAATTGCAACTGTAAATTTGCAGATGGAGCTAATAAAGCTGAAGTGTAATGGGACACTGAAGGCAAAGTAGGACACTGTGAGACCTGCACAGTTCACTCATTTCATTCCTGTAGAGATGCCCCAGCTTCGTCTACATGTGGCTCGGACCTTGAGCATGTTTGGTAGCACATATCTGTGTCAGCAGTGGTTTAACTGTGATGAAGATTAACAAATCATCACACAGGAGTCGTCTCACTGATGCACACTTGCAGTCCATCATGAGAATCTCAATGACACAGAACGTTACTCCCAACAAACACGAAGTTACTTGTTTTTGTAGCCAAGAGAATTTGCCAAACATCCAGCTCTACACATTGGCATAAGAACGAAAATGGACATGCCAATGATTTTTAATTATTAAAACTTTTTTCTGTTTTCATTTATATAAATTGTTTTTAAAAAAGGTTAATTTTGCGCTCATTTAATGTTTATCCTGTTTGGCCCGCAATCTTACATGTGATTTGAGTTTGGCCCGCCGAGCGATTGAGTTTGACACCCCTTTGTAGAGAGGGGCACAAATTTGTGAAGATCTATTATGAAGGTGTCTAAATTTGTGACTATTGGCAATGGGTTGTAAAAATATCTGTAAAAATAGAGTTATGTCATTCAAGGATGAGGGATGAAGGCAAAAGAACAAATTGAGATGTGAGTTCAAGGCAGACCAACAAAGTATGAATACACCTGGAAGAAAATAAAAGGAAAGCACAGGACCGAAATGAAAAGAGACTCATGCATACAGCTTATGGCAAAGGCGGGGTAAAAGAAAAAGACATAACTGTCATAACTCATCAACTGTGTCAATAAAATAATTATGAAATTACAGAAATAGTTTTTCTTTGCTTTTCTTTGGAGTCACAACTACTAGCAAATCAATTTTTTGCCATAGAATATATAAACTTATTATTCGTAGTAAATTTTCAAACTCAAGTTTATATGTAATATTTTCATATGATTATGGCCTGTAAATTAGTAATAATATTTGGACACATCAGTACTGTGCCGTGCTAATTATTTTTAAACAGTAAAAATTAAAAGTTAGGCCTCTTACTGGAGTCTTAACTCTTTTGATTTCACTTTTTTTTTTTACATATTACAAGTAGACCAACGTTTATATAGATAAATAAACTCATTTTATTTGGATTTGGATTTACTAATTTACTCAGATCAGGTGGATGAGGCTAGGTCTGAAACTCAGACTCAAATATTTTTAATAATTTAAAATTTAAAAGAATTATTATCAAAATTAAAATAATGGTCTAAATCTAGCGATAATCACTATCGTAATGAAGTCTAATATACTACTAATAGTAATAGTTAATAGTGGTAATTGAATTTGAATTGTACATGACATAAATATAAATTAATAAATGATATAATATTTTTTATAGTATTAGTAGACATAGTGAGTGCCATAGTAATAGTAGTCATTCATAGAGTTAATAGATATAAAATTCATAAATGATATAACTTAATGCTAACTTATAATAACATATAATTACCATTTTGTGGATTTTACTTAAAGCGTGAAAAAGCAAATAGAAAATACGATTTATCAATCAAATATCTGCATTTGTTTGTTGTATTATGTTTTATTTTCAGAAATCGTGTGAAAACGCCCCTTTAAGTTTCCGTCTTGTAAAGTTTATTTTGTTAAAAATGCTCTTCAGTAATAAAACTACATTAAGTCATTTTACCGGAAGTTTTCATTTGGAATATAAATTATAAGTTTGTTTGTTTTGTTGTGAAAACCTCTGCTTTATTTAGATTTAAAATAGTTTGTGCTTCCATAAATAATTATTAAATAAGCATTTCGAAATGCCTAGAAGTTTGTGGAAAAAGACAAAGCAATATGTTCTTGATACATTTCGGGTAAATTTAAAATATGCATTCTTTTTATTTTTACTTTATTAATAAATTTTAATATGAATATTATTTAATTTGTCTAATTAACCCTCTTGGGGCGGAGATTCTCGGGGTGTATGTGCCAAAAAGACTGAGCACTTTTTGCGAGCTCGGCACTCGCATTGCAAACAAATTGATAAAAAATAAACTATTCTCTTAAAATTTATAAAACTATGTATTCTTGTAGGAAATTGAATGAACTACTGACTACTAATACAATCTTAATGAATCAAACTGACTGAAATATCAACATTTATGAGCTACCCTGATTTGCATAATTTATGCACATAATTCTTTGTTAAACCTAGAAAACATGACTTACTTGTATAATAAATTGTTATAATTTCTTTTATGGATGAAGCCTGAATAAGTCCTAACACTAATATTTTTTTTCTACAAGGCCAAGGCCCATGGAAGCTCTTCAGTCTTCAGACACCTCTGGCACATGGTTCTACTCATTTTGCACCCACCCCCCCCACTATTTTTCATTTATTACAGACCTCTTAAGCTAGATGTTACTGAGAAAGTTGTCTGCACATCTATTGGTCTCTCTCATAAACATTTGAGCGATAGTTAATAATTAATTACTATACTATACTAAAAGTATACTATATTGCAGGCCTGCACAACATACGCCACACACGACCCGCCAGCACCCACTTTGCGGCCCCAAAGAATTAAAGAAATATTCTTTATTCTTATTATTTTCTTAAAAGCTTTCTCCCCTGTCCTATTTTCTTTTTGCCCGCAAAATTCCTGTCCTATTTTCTTTTGGCCCTCACAAGTCACAAGTTTTTCACAAAGTATTACGGCCCGCCTTACATTTTGAGTTGTGCAGGCCTGCTATATTGTATTGACTATACTTTAGTACTATAGTACTATAGTACTATAGTGGATAGTACTATACTAATGACTAATAGTATAATATATTACTTTTAATTACTATATTATAGTATTAGTATTAGCCTCTAAAGTCAAAAGTCTAGGTGTAAAGAAGTCTTAAGTCACCTTGGAAGGCGTAATCCCTTATTATAATATAAAAATATGGCAAGGGATTACCATGGGTTATAGTTCTAGCTAATTAACCTCCTTGAGATGGAGCATTTTACTTTTACTTTTTTGGACTGTGGTTGCCAAGAAGATGGAGCCCTGGCTTTTCATAAGCCATGCCCAGCACTTACGTCACAACCCCCCCCCCCCCCCCCCCCCCCCAAACAAAAAAAATGATATGTAGTATATTAGTAATTAGTATATTAGTCTATATATATATATATATTCTTGTATGAGAATTTAATATTCAAAAGTCTAATAAGATCTCTCTTTAACTATCAAACTGAAATCTCAAAATTTATCATAATGTATATAAATGAGATATCAAGATTTGCATAATTTATGCAAGCAATTTTTGTTTAGGCTTAAAATAAATATGGTTTACTCACAGAATTTAGTTAAATTGTATGATTTTGAAGTCTAATAAGTCCTGACAAACATTGGAATAAGATTCAACATGAAAGGCTGGATTAAATATTCCTCTGGGTTAGTAGGCCTACTAGCAAACTAGTACTAGGGTTAGTGGGCCTAGTAGAGTAAGAAGGCCTAGGAGGTTAGAAGGCCTAGAAGGGTAAGGTGAAACTAAATTAGTCAATTCTGAAAGCTAAGTTAGGGCTAACTGCCTTAGACTTCTAATTAGTAATTTAAGTAGTTTTTAATTCAAATTTGGGGCAAAGGGGGGGGGGGGGGGTCGTCACTAACTCACAGCCAAGCATAACTATAATTCTACAAGTGAGTACCGGTTACGACAAAACAATAGTGACATCAAATTTTTAACTTCACTAAAAATTCACATTGCAGTAAGAGTTAGTATTTTTTTTTAAAGACTTGACTACACCCCATGACTCAAACTCTTAAAATTGTATAAATAGGCTTGTACAATTTTTGTAGGAAGAGGATCCTGAAGAGTATTTTAAATACAAGACAAAGTCAGCTCATGGTCTAAGTCAAGATGAATTAGAATTTATGCAGGTCAGTTAATGTTGCTTTTTTTTCAGTATGAGATTAACTCATGGCTGTAAATGATAAGTAGTTTGGATGAGAAGAGCATGTGGCTATTTTCACTAGCTAGTCCCCGCTGTACCCAGTTTTTATGTTCATTAGTTTGTTCAATTAAATTGTTAATTTTGTCTAAAACTGCAGAATTCTTAAGTTATTTTGGATATCCATAAATTTGAGAGTACTTAGTCCTGTCACTCAACATGTAGGTTGCTTACTCCTGTTTTTGTCTATCATATATTATAACTTATTTTTCCTTTGCCTAAGGGTTCTGTGTTAACTTGTATCAACTTTTTTATTGTTTGCGTACTTTCTTAGGCCGTGAAGAATCGCTCAATACAAAAACTTCGAACAATGCTAAACAGTGGAGTTGATCCTAATTTTTTCAAAAATCCTGGAAACAGACAAACGCCTTTACACCTCGCTGTTGAGGGCACTGGTGAGAAATGATTAATATTGTGTTGTTTTTTTAAATAAATTTGGTGTTATCTTTCATCTTTTTATGCTAAATTTTTTGTTATTAACCACATGGAATAGTTATTTATTAAATCATTCTCATTTTTTTTTTTTTTACTTGGGATTCCCAAATATTAGTGACATTATGGAAAGCTGATAAAAATATTAATAATTGACAGTTGATAAATAAATTTGGTGTTATCTTTCATCTTTTTATGCTAAATTTTTTGTTATTAACCACATGGAATAGTTATTTATTAAATCATTCTCATTTTTTTTTTTTTTACGTGGGATTCCCAAATATTAGTGACATTATGGAAAGCTGATAAAAATATTAATTATTGACAGTTGCATTTTAATTTTCGGCTTTAAAAAAAAAAAAATTTCAAATATTTCATTTTTAAAAAAAGTTTCTGAAAAAGTGGTTGGAGTGCTGCTGTTTTTTGGGGCCAACCCTAACGCACAGGACAACCTAGGCTGCTCCCCACTCCACACGGCTTGTCTGCATGGGAACTCTGCCGCTGTTGAGCAGTTGGTCTCGGCTGGAGCCGATGTTAATTTGGTGGACAACTATCAAGGTAAAGTATTTCAATGAATCATCCCCCCTGCTGTCGCCTTCTAAAAGGAACAATAGATAAAGAATTGTATTATTATTGTTGTTTTATTTAAATGTCCTACATATGTTAATAAAATAGCAGAACAAGGTATGTCCTACATATGTTAATGAAATAGCAGAACAAGGTATGTACTACATATGTTATAGAAATAGCAGAACAAGGAATGTACTACATATGTTAAAATATTTACAGACTTTTTCTTTATGGGATGCACCAGGATTTAAAATAGAGAAATTAAAAATGAAAGAATTTTAACTGCAATGAATTCACAATCGTCACTTGTAGTTTATTTTTATTTTCATTTTATCCCTTTAAAAGGGTAGTGAAATGAATTTTTTTTTAGCTAAAATTTGGGGGAAATTTCAGAAATTCATGAGGAAAGCTATTATTGTATGTTATTGTGAGATTAAAAATAAGCTCCAAACCTTCTGATAATAAAAGTGATCCCCTCAAAAAGTCTATCTTTTTACAAAGCTGCTTTTAAATGAATAATTTTACGTAAATGTTTTTTAATTACATGTTCCTCTTTTTTTTTCATTTTGTTTATTTTTATGTGAAGCACGGTGAGCCTAGCCCTAGACTGGGGTACTGCACTATATAAGTGAGCCAATCCCTAGGCTGGGGTACTGCGCTATATAAGTGAGCCAAACCCTAGGCTGCTGTACTGCGCTGTATAAGTGAGCCTAGCCCTTGGCTGGGGTACTGCGCTGTATCAGACCACTTTAATAATGATAATAATAATAAGTAACAAACTAAAGTGCCTGAAAATATTTTACCTCACTGAATGCCGTCATCAACTTGCTCCATTATGTAGATATATATACACCATCTAAACTATCTTATCCCTCTGCCAGAGACCCCATTGATGACAGCCTGCAAGGTAGCACACAAAAGTACAAGTGATATAGTTGACCTTCTACTAGAGGGAGGGGCCATTGTTTCGTGTACAAATGATAGAAAACAGTCAGGTACAATTTTTTCAAAACCAACAGGATTGCAATATTTGTCTGTTTTGTGTTTGATTGTCCGATAAGCCTGTGAAGTTAATCAAATCATACTTTGGATTAAAACATACTTAGGATAAAAAAATACTTTGGATTAAAACATACTTTGGATTAAAACATATTTTGGATTAAAACATTTTTTTGATCAAAACATACTTTGGATTAAAAAATACTTTGGATTAAAACCTACTTTGGATTAAAACATGCTTTGGATTAAAACATACTTTGGATTAAAACATACTTTGGATTAAAACATGTTTTCAAGATATTTATGCACATTATGAACATTGTTTTTTTCTGGAGAGAAAAATGATGACAAACTAATTTTCCATTACTATGTAATATGAATGTCACAAAATCTGTTTGTAAAGAGAAGCAGTATGTTTAGATTAAAACACGCTAACCATAATATATGTTTACAAGTGGGTTGAAGATTTATTTTTTTTAAAGTGACAAACTGCAAATTAAAATGTTTGGCTGCAAACCTTTGTCAGTTAACATAAATATACATGTTCAGATATGAATTTAAAGACAGGAAATATTTGATAAAGCTTTAACTTAATTTCTGTGTTTTTGCATTTTAATCTACTTCAGCTTTATGAAGTCCTACCCTCCTCCTATCCTCATGTTCATTGACATTAGCTGACCTGAATGGAATAAATATAATTTTACTTTCCCAGCTGTCGCCACTAGATGTTGAAGTGTTGTTAAGTTATTTCAAATGCAGTTGAATCTCAAAAGTGCAATTTTATTTTAAAACTATAGCGTCATTAATGCTTAGTGCCTTTCAGAGTTTGTGTAGCCACCATTAGGGTTGTAAAAATTCCAACTATAAAAACTTCATTCATCACCGCTACCAGAAAATAGGAATAATAAATTAATTTTTTTTTTTTTAAATTATTTTTATCAGCTTGTTTCATAATAATTATTCAGTCCTTCATAAATTTATAGTCCCTTTTGAATACAAGACCTGGCTGCCCCCCCCCTCCCAACCCACCCCCAAATGCCATATGCCCAGACCTTTATCACCCATCGTATGACATGAAAAAAATACCAGCGAGCAGATGTCAATGTATTGTCCCTGTCACTGTGGCATGTTCATGTGCTCACTGCATATCATCTCTCACTTTAGTATTGCACATCTTGACCTGTGCCAACCCGCTGGCCACACGAACAGAGGTGTGGATGATGGAGGACAGGTACGTGCTGGTGAACAAACTTCTCAACCGCGTTGCAAGGCCATTGCTGGTGACGAAGCTTCTGACTTTTGGAATGTCGGCCAACACACTGGATGAACAAAGTAACTTGCATCAATGTTAAGATTAATATTCTTGCGATTGCCGCCAGCGCTACTGACAATATTAAATTTTGCACTCTGCTTTTTTTTTTTTTAGCCAAAGTATACAGTACCGGTAATCAAAGTTGTTTTTTCGTGTCTCAAAATATTTAGTCTACATCATGTCTGATAAAATTTATCGCTGACTTAAATATTATTTAATGTTTTTAGAACACAAATCAACTGTAGTAGTTTTTTTAAAAAACTGTTACATGCATCCCGTATTGTTCTTAATCCTAATATCATTTTTTTCTTTTTTTTGTATTTGTGCATATTAATTGATATAAATATTTATTAATTCATTTACTGGGGGGGGGGGGGGGGTATAAACTGTGGCATGCTGTCATGTATCAACTAAGCACTCTCTGTTATATGGCTGGTAGATTGTTTGGCATAATTTGAATTGACCTCCTAATTTTCCATTTAAAAAAATGAAATCAATGCAATTTAAGACAACCTTATCAATGATACACAATGTCCATGTCAGTCATTCACAATGCCCATGTCAGTCATACACATTGTCCATATCCAGCATACACAATTTCCATATCAATTGTATGCAATGTCCATGTCAATTATACACAATGTCCATCTCAATTATACACTGTCCATGTCAATTATGCACAATGCTCATATCAACCATACACAATGTCCATGATTTGTGTTGTTCGTGAAGAGCTTCAGGTCCATTAGCTGGTAAGCAAAAGTGGTCTGTATTTGTTTTTACTGTACAGTACGCTTGCTTCCGTTTCCTGTAAGATAAGCCCCTGGCCTATCTAAATACCTTTGTCATTAGGAATTTACTGCCCGTCATTGTATCCTTGAATATCTCGTTTCACCAGTCATCTTTTCTCCACAGATTTAACCCCACTGTGCTGTGAGCTCCTGCTCTTGCTCCAGGCTCCAACCTTTGACCCAGATAATGAGACCGATCTTTTGCTGACAGCCAAGACCTTGGTCAGAGGTGGGGCGATGCTGCAGATACCTGACGTCATGACAGAACTTGATGTGAGAACAATAAAAAAATTAATTCATTAAGAACGGCAGAATCAATGGGGATCTAGAAGAGATTTAATGTCAATGTTGTTATTATATATCTTCATATATTGGTTTCTCAGTTCCTGTGCAGCGTGTTTGCCAGTTATTGAAATTTCCTATAAACCCCCTTTCTACTATATATCACCAACATTAGAGCTTTTCGATATTTTAGCATATTGTCTTTCCTGGTTGGTAGGACATTGTCTTTCCTGATTGGTAGGACATTGTCTTTCCTCGTTGTAGGACATTGTCTTTCCTGATTGGTAGGACATTGTCTTTCCTGGTTGGCAGGACATTGTCTTTCCTGGTTGGTCTGGAGGATCACAAAGCCTCGGAGTTGCCAGCTAAAAAGAATACAATTTATTGGCTACTTTTTTTAAACCCACAAAATATATACGGGCAAACATAGATGTTTATGGAAAACATTCTTTTAGAATGTCGATTTCTTAAAACTACGGTGCTTAAAACATTAAAATGCCCTTGGGATATGGCTATAATTCTATGTGTAAATCTTTGTCATAATGACACAAAATATTATATATAGCATTAGTATATCATATGGTTTTCTAATCAGTGATTGATTGTTCCTGCTTATGATCACAAACTCAAACATACAAAATCGACAAGAAAAAAAGTTGAAAATGCTGACAAATCTCTCTTTTAAGATCTAAATAATGAAAAGCTTCAAGCACAGTTTCTAATTTATTTTTTACAGACGAGTCATTTTATTCAAATTACTTACTTACTGTCTGTAAATGTATTGACAAAAAGGGACACTGCCCCCCCCCCCGCCCCCCCCCCCCCCACACCACAAGGTATTGGTTGAAGGACTTGTGTTCCAAGTAAAACCCTATCCTCAACAATACATTTTCTATTTCAGCTTCTCTTCCGAATACGACGTGCTCGGGGGCCGATCCATGCCCCCACGTTCAACAACTTAGCCAGACTGATCAGAGACATCCACCCCGTCATACCCAGGGCTCACCTGTCCTTGTGCTTGGACCTGGTCAAGCAAGTGTCTGGTCGAGCCGAGACGCAGTCCTTGCAGAGGGAGCTGGAGGTCGCCATCTCAACTCTGCCGAGCCTCCTGCAGCTGTGCAAGCTCAGCGTCAGGCAGTGCCTTGGCGGCTACGTTTTATGCCAAGCCCAGTACTTGCCTCTCCCCGACAAGATGAAAGATTACATCTGCAGTGTTTGAAGTCCACGGCAGCATGTCATCCCTGCGTTGTTTGATAACCCGTAAGTTTTTTGAGTGGCCTCTCTTTGACAGTCATAACTGCTGCTCAAAGTGAATTTGGGTTTTATAATAAATTAACTTCTTTTTCTGCAGCCATGTTCTTTTTAATGAACTGTAAACATGAACATTAAATGCAATATTTCCCTGGTCATACATTACATTACTTGCATTTCTTTCACATGCTGTGGTATCACACTTTGTACATTGACCTCTCATGAACTTGAGTTTGGTACGGGGAGGGGTGAAGTAGGTCAATTTATTCACTGCCGGTCCCTTTCTACTCTCAGGCTAATCTCTGTTACTAAGTCTGCCACACTATTGACTCTCCCTCAGAAGAAAAAAAACCGGTGGAAGTGACACAAATTAAAAATCGTGTTATGTGAAAACTGCTGCACATTTTTTAATACCGGTAATAGTGTTGTTTGTCATTTTCTCATCCTTCCCCAACATTATTATTGATATCTCCTTGGTGCATCCACACGGTAAAGTAAAATCACTAATGTTATTTTATCAGTCAAACATTGTTTTTTTTGTTTGTTTTTTTTACTATCCTTGATGCCTTGCCTCCCCTAAAGTTTTTTTAAACCCTGTACTTTTTCTTTCTTTTCCTCATTGACGCCCAAACCCCATTTATGTTTTTTTTTACAAATTTAATGTATATCATCTGATTATTTTGTCTAAGAGTGAGACTACCAAAATTACCATTGTTTAGAGTGGACAGTTTTTTTTTAATGCTGCATGTGGTTGTGAAAGAGAAAACAACTGAAGCAACTGCCAGAAGAGGTTTATTTGTGTAGGTTTAACAAATGTGTTTATTGCATTTACACTAACCCAATACTGAGCCTTTCTTGTAAATATATGTTAAACAGTGGTCCTCAGTCTGCAGAGCACCAGTTGTTGAATTTTTCAAGTGTGAATGTTGAAACCTGTTTTGGACGAAGTAAATTGTTTTATGATAATTTCACCAAAATGTGAGATTGTTCAAATTGTTTTTTTTTAAATGTAACAAAAGTTGGGTGGCACTGATAGATGACATCATATCTTCCCAGTTTTTTTGTATAGCAATAATCCATGGATTTTCTTGAAAAGATGTATTTCAACCATTTAGCCCATTTAAGCCAGGGCAGAAGGCAGCTACATTGCCAAGCTCGCTGGCAGTACCCATCTGGAGCGGTGCATCCTATTTAGAAGGCAGGAGTTGTGTGTTTGATGAAAATAATACAGATGAAGATGTATGTATAATTTTATGGAGTTGTTGGGTGGGATTGCAACAGTTTTTGTTTGAAATAGACAAGTGAGAAACACAGAGAATATTTTATGAGCTAAAACAAAATCAGAGAGCTCTGGATTAGGCCGTCATTAGGCCATGGGAGCCGAGAGGAAACAAGCTTAATTAATATTGGTCCACTTAATGTCATGGACTGGAAAACTGCAAACCACTTACTGGTGTAATGAATCCAGCCTGCCATGGCCAGCAGTACATTGACTTACTGATGTAATGAATCCAGCCTGCCATGGCCAGCAGTACATTGACTTACTTATGTAATGAATCCAGCCTGCCATGGCCAGCAGTACATTAACTTACTTATGTAATGAATCCAGCCTGCCATGGCCAGCAGTACATTGACTTACTTATGTAATGAATCCAGCCTGCCATGGCCAGCAGTACACTGACTTACTTATGTAATGAATCCAGCCTTCCATGGCCAGCAGTACATTAACTTACTGATGTAATGAATCCAGCCTGCCATGGCCAGCAGTACATTAACTTACTGATGTAATGAATCCAGCCTGCCATGGCCAGCGGCTAATTGACTTACTGATGTAATGAATCCAGCCTGCCATGGCCAGCCTGATGTAATGAATCCAGCCTGCCATGGCCAGCAGTACATTAACTTACTGATGTAATGAATCCAGCCTGCCATGGCCAGCGGCTAATTGACTTACTGATGTAATGAATCCAGCCTGCCATGGCCAGCAGTACATTGACTTACTGATGTAATGAATCCAGCCTGCCATGGCCAGCAGTACATTGACTTACTGATGTAATGAATCCAGCCTGTCATGGCCAGCAGTACATTGACTTACTGATGTAATGAATCCAGCCTGCCATGGCCAGCAGTACATTGACTTACTTATGTAATGAATCCAGAATTCCATTTATAGCTGTAAATTGCAATTTAAAAAAAAGAAAAATTAAGTTAAAGCAAATGGCAAGGAACAGTGTCATGGCGTAACAGGTTTCTCCGCCATGGAATGCTGTGACTTGTTATACCTGATGAGAGAAGGCTACCAAAGATGCATGTAATGATGATGTTCTAATATTATAAGTTGCAATACCATTTGTATATATTTTTAAGCTATTATAAATTGTAAAAAAAAAAATATTTATATTTTTTCCTACTTAACATTGTAGTGAAATGATCCCTTGAATTAACGGTTAAGTTTAAAAAAAAAATTTTAATTGAAAGGAAGTTTGTTTATCTGGACTGAGGTGATTTTTTAAAAGACTCAATTTGAAATTTTTGTTCACAGATGGGTAGAATTTTTGTTTGTTGTAATGTCATTGCATCCTATTATAATTTGGATAAAAATTTATCCAGTGGATGTTAGATAAGGCAGAGTGGCATACTTACTTATACTTATTGCTTGAATTTTGACTTCAAAACTAAATGTTGTACTCACAGTACATATACATAGTGAATAGTGTAGTGAGATTTAAAAAAATCTGATTTTTGTATCCTTGTGGTTTTTTTTGATTGGTATAATTATGTAGTGTAATTATGTGACTGATGGCATTAAGTATAAATGGCATTAAGTATAAACGGATTGATGTGGGTTTGCTTTTGTCTCCACCTTAAGTACATCACAGGTAGTAAGCACTTTGTTTGTAGGTTGAAACCTAAGATGTGCACAAGACTGGTTTGTTTTGTTTTTTGTACAAATTATTTGATGTCGAATTTTAATATTTTAGTCATTAAGTAAATTTTACATTCATTACATTAAGTAAACCTCAGATTTCATTTTACTGAGACTGTGGCCAGATTTTTATGCAACTATCGTGGCCAATCTCATATTTTGACAATCTTTTTTTTTTTTATGGTTACCGGTATTTTATAAAATATACTTTAGGCGTGTAAATATACAGTGTTGAATATGCCACTCTACTATGATGTTTGACCTTAAAATTGTATTGAAGATGGTGCACAGGTGTATCCTTAGAAAATTTAAACTGGCTGTATGCAATTTTGATCTTCTAGCAATATATTATTTAGTGAAATTAATTTAAGTCCTCAGATTTACTTATAGTTTACACGCTTTCACATTAATCCATCTCAAATTACTATGCAGTTTTTAAATGAGACCGCTATTAAGAGAGAATACAATTATTCAGAGGAGATACCAGATTCTATTATGTTTAATTTAACAAATTTAGATTAATTTCTATATTGTGATGTTACTGTTTTCTTCTTGCTATCCAGTTACCAAATGCCAAAGTCAAGATTTTTAAACTTAATGTTTAAAACAAGATTTATTTATAAACTTTTAAAAAATTAAAATCCATTTTGTTAAAACTTTTTAAAATTTTCTTTTAAATGAGTAACTTCAAATATGGGCCTTCATTATAACCATCTGATACCGGTTGCAAGATCAGTATTAATCGTGTTGGAAGACTTCACTGTGATAATCAAAAAAGTGTCCTCTGTGAAGGGTTGCCAGATGTTTTCCTTTAATGGGTTGCTATTTTTTTGGGAGGTTGTTTTTTTTAAAGTTTTTACTTCTTTTTTTAAATTTTTTTATATCATATTTGTTGCATTTTCTTAACTGACAGTCTGGTTTTCCCACCTGTATGCCAGTCGGTCAAGTAGATGAGGGTTGAAACAATTCAGTGTAATTATTAAGAACTTGTAAAACCCCACAATGAGGAAATCTGGCTAACTTTATGAAGATTTATAGTTGGGACATGCTTGGTAGCTCAATGTGTGTAATGTGTAGCTCAGTGCGAGATGTCATTTGTAGCTATTGACTAAAAGATATGCAAATAAACACAATCAACAAAAAAAAACTTAACTTTTTGTTTTCTTTTCGTAAGCAAAAGCTCTTGTTAATCAGCAGATAATTAAAATTAGTCTTCCATTGTTGCAAATTTTATTTATTTAAAAATGCACTGTCTGTCTGTATGACAACTTGAACATCTTCATTATATTGTTTGCTTATGTCTTCATTTTAACCATATCTGTTTTTAAATAGATTAATTTTTTTTAATAGTCATTATTCATTTGGGTTGTCCTCCTTGCTACAGACATAGATTGTACTGGTACACAAAATTTGATCCATTATTTTTATGTTCATTTAAACCAGGATAAATTCTAACCTGTCCCATTATTACAAATGTGTATATCTTTTATTAAAAAAAGGGTTAACCATGCAACCAGTGTATGACTACAACACTCACAAAAAAAAAGAATTAACCATGCAAACAGTTTATTACTATGTACCCAGTATAACAATCACCAAAAAAAAAGAATTAACCATGCAACCAGTTTATGACTATAACACTCACAAAAAAAATAAAACAGTGAAAATAAATTTTTTATTGAAGCACCAGTCCATCAAAATGAAAAGTTCAGAAGCACTACTTGAAACTTATTCAGTTTGTCCGCAATCATTTATAGATAAGACAATAGTTATTTCAGTCAATTTACTCACATATGCTCATACCAAAGTCAGAAGTCCATCATTTAATCAGTTTCTATGCACATAGCTCTTGAGGCTTTAAATGTAGATCTTCAGTCAACTACACTTAGGTCTCAAACCAATCAAGTATAGGCCTGAATACCAAAAATTAAAAATTAATCCTCATTATTTTGAACTGAACGGCTCTACTGTATTTGCTGCAGCTCAGCTGAACTCTTCAGTGTCTTGAATTATTTCCATTGCCACTTCTTCCTTAACCTCTTGCTTCAGCTTGTCCTCACTGACAATATCACTGAGCGCCTTGGAGTATCTGTGCTTGTCCTCATCGACCATATCACTGAAAGCCTGAGTGTAACCATATTTGACCTCACCATCATTGTCACTCATGCAGCCGTCAGCTGCCTTATTTCCCATGTTTGTTTCATCCCCAGATTCTATTTCTTCTTTAATCTCCATATCTTGATCTGTATATAGAAAAGGCAAAATGAAATGAGCACACAAAAAATGAAGTACAATCAACAAGAAAGTTAAAAATCTCATTAATTAATTGAGAAAAATTTACAGCCAGCTGGCACTCCTTTTCCATGATTTTTCCAGTTTAGCTTTTACAAGAAGGCCTATGAGGGAAATGTTTTAACACTTTTCCCAATGCACAAATTTTAAAAAATTAACTTCCGAACTAAAATAGATTAGTAATTTTGCAACAATAATCAGCAGAAGAGAATTGTGGGGGGAGGTGTTATCAAATAAGCTGGATGTTAACTTAGGGTCATTCTGGTGCTTATGAAACACTACTGGAAACTAATCAGTCAGCAAATATTTAAATCCTTCATACTGAAATGATTTTGTTTTGTTTTAAAAGGGCCAAAGTTCAAAGTTCATATGAATATGTTTCATTTTAATCTAATTTTTAAAAAAAATTATAACAGGAGTTAACTTACCTAATTCTTCTAAAGCTGATGCTGGACACACATATTTGGAGCAGGAACTTTTAGAGCATGCAACCAGATGATTGGCTGTGATAGTATATAGACAATTAAGTTTGTAAGTTTTAAAAAATGTAACACATAGAAATAACTTAAACTTTACAATTATTATTATTAAAAGTCAGTTTACCAAATATTTTGGTTGTCGTCTGGCTTATTTACTTATTTCCTCAAAATTCAAATGAAAGTAAACCCTGCTTTTCTAACACTCACCAATGAGGTTCCCATAATTGCTAACAAATCCACAAGCACAGTAAAACTGTTCCTCCATTCTTCCTTGATTTGGTGTATGAGAGGCAGCTTCAGTCAGCTGGCCACAGTGAGAGCCAGTCACATGATGGGAATATGCAAACCTACAATTTGTGGCAAATCTGCACAGGGAGCAACAAGAGTACTTCCTGCAATAACAAGACAGGTCACTCTAATATCAGTGAAGGGGTTTCAGTGTTTTAGGTAACTCAAAACAAAAAAATATGTCAACATCTAATCGAAATTTCATGTCCCTCAACTATTACAATTTTCTCACCAACTTCAAACCAATAAACAATTGTTCTTGAAGGGTGTACGCAGAAAATATGCTTTTTTTTCCACCACCCTACCCTTGTCCACATCTGGCTTATCTTAACACCACCTCTACCTGGTTGCAGATATCTGCACAGGTGATTATACAGCGTGAAAAGCTGGGAAGCATAATGATTATAATGAGCACCACAGGGATGGATAGATGGTCTGAGTGGAAGGAGGTGGGGAGGCAAGCCAAAGCCCTACATGCGCCGTAGCGCCACAGGGATGGATGATATACCCAGTGAACCTAATGCAACATTACAAAAATACTAGCAGACAGAATTCCGCAAGATCCTTGAAACCACCTGCCCTCCTTCACATTTGGAACCCCCCCTCCCCCACCATCTTTTAGGATGTCCTTTATGAATGAGCCCTAATTAAAAGTTTAAGCCAGGCAAGAGGTAGCTTCAGAGATAAAGGACAACAAAAATCTAATAGCTCCAATGGACCAAAACTTCTCAGTGCAATATCTCGATGACTGATCAAAATATATCAAACTAATAGTCTACATCAGAAGTATGACTGACAAAGGCTACCAAGATACGGTACCCATTACCGTAAAGTGGCAAACGGGTACCCGGGAAGTTATTTAATTGAAAGTGCCCATTACTTGCTACTGTCGAGTTTTTTACATATAAGTACAAGAAGACTAAACATCTGCGCTTTGCAGCCGTATTGGGCTATCCATATATTACGTAGGTGCTGAGCACTGTGAAATTCATCATTTCAATTTATTTTAGAAGGCTGTTAAAAATGTCAATACAATGTTTCATATTTTTTGCCATACCCATACTTTTGCTATGTCTTTTCTTCACAAATCATGCCAATGAAATTGCTACATACGCCATCAGTAATATTTAGCCTAATTTAGTCCACGCTGTGTTTTTGTGCCTGTGACATAATTTACTAATTTACTTTGTGCTGCTGAGCCAAAGATTACACCAAACTGACAGGGCGTAGCACTAAAGCTGTGCATGCTCCGGCCGTCAGCCGCCTTTTCCATCCAGAACCTTGCTGGCAGATTAAGGGCCATCTACATATTACAATTTTCCAAACACATGTAATTTTAAATCGATCCATGTGGGGTATCACCAATTAACACCAAAAAAAACTACTATCCTATCACAGCACTTACCTGAAGTGGTCAGGAATTCCAACGAGCCTTTTACACTCAATGCACCCAAGCTTAGAAACACCGGGTGGTATAACCAGTTCATTATCCATAGACTTTCTCACAGCAGGAGCATTTAAGCAGCTGACGCCTCCGACATTTCCACTTTCTTTCTCTACTTGGCCAGGGGTGGAATATTTAGCATCAATTTCTTTAGAATAGATAAGAGTTGTTTAAAGCTGTAGTATAACCTAAAATGCCATGCATTTTTTTGGATGAGCTTATATTTTTTTAGAGTAATTTATTTCTCAGGCTTGTTGATTTTTTTATTTGCCATTGGCATCCACACCATGTCAGTCTTAAGCCACGCTAAGCCTACCGTTGACTCTTTCCTGATACGGCAGATGATCCGTTCGACGATGCTCGACTAGTTCTGTTTTGGTCCTGAAAATTAGTTTACAACGATTGCATCCTAGATTGCATCCTTTCCTTTGTATCTGAATAAAAAGAAAGACAGGATTTAAATTTTAGTCCCCAACTACAGTTGTTTTGAGAGATTTAAAGAAAGTTGTGCTGTGCAGGAGATTATTAAAAATCATTTCAAGGTCATCCCTAGATGACACACCAGTTCAGCAATGGATCATGTATGAGGTCACTCGCACATCATGTATGAGGTCACTCACACATCATGTACGAGTTTGTGGGTGTAGTTACAAAATATAGCTACGTAACATCACATGAGTTCGTGGATATAGTTATATATTTTTTTAACTATAGTATTGTCTAATTAAACAGCCCCTAAAACAATGTATAAAAATCCATTATAAAATGTAATATCAATCAATGGGGGTGGGGCTGAAAATTTGACAAAAATGCATACAAGTAACGCACGTAATAAGAATCCCAATTAGCGCTCACCCAGGGCTTGCGACCGCCTACTTTTTTGAAGCCCCTGAACTATATTGATATTCTAATGACCAACCTGCTTTTAAACTGCAGATTAATTTCGCCAACTGTTTCATAAAAACAAAAGAAATATCGCGCACAAAAAACTCTACTCTTTTATTTATCTCATTTAGCATAGTTATCAGGAATTTTGCTTCTGAAATCCTTGGCATATTTCTTTCATCTTCCCCTTGAAAAAAAAGAATAACTGATTTTGGGGGGTTGGGCAGAAAATTTTAAAGAATGTGTTGTCATCGGCAATGAGTCTGTGCGCCAAGTTTCAGCTCGATAGGTTAACAGGAAGTGGGTCAATTAGCTATCCAAAATTTTTTTGCCAGCCAGGAACAAAAGCACAATTAATAAAGGATTTACAAAGAGCCGCATCTACTCCTTCCTTGCCAAGCAATTGTTTAAAGCTGACTAAATTAAGGAAAGATAGTCATGCAAAAATCAGCAGCCCATAACATTTTCAAATACACAATGGAAACGCCCAACTGTGCCTGCGCTGTTAAACAATATCAATCACAGGTACTAACCCCATGTCCCCTGAGATGGTGGTAATAGTAATAGTTTAATTTGTTCCCACTATTTCCATTGGATCTTGGCCGTTTCATCACATGAAGGCACAACAAACACAGCAGAAACTCGGATCTGTTGTGCTTCTGTGGAAATTATGAATTTAAGATCAAAATAAATAAACATTTTAAACACCAATTACAGCAAAGCTGGTTACAAATAGTGTTACAACTAAAAAATTACTAGTTTTCAGAGAGAGGGACACACGAGTGCTGGGTAAATACCTACAAATTCTCTTTTGTTGAATTCTTCAACAAATAGGTTTGTTGAATTCTTCAAGAAATAGGGTAATTATACACCTTAGGCTTTCCACTTTCTCCTGATGCACCAGCCACATCTCCTAACCTTGTGTGCACCCAAAGGAATCTTTTTTTATAACTATTTTCGTTCACAGTGCCTTCAACCTACACCACTTCAGCTCTGTTCAAAGAGACATCTGAGAGAACCTTTGCATAGTTCAGCTACACGATGCCCTTTTTATTTCATTTGTTACACAAAAAATTTTATACAAAAACTTTATAATGCATAGATGAGATGGATGAGAATAAATGAGACATATACTACATATCTACCGTAACAAAATGATGAACGACGTCGCTGTGCATAGATGACCGGAACTTGCACAGCTGGCAGATGTAGGGCATCTCACAGATGTTGTGCTGAGTCTCCATGTGTCTATGCACATCGCTAAACTTCCTCTCACAGATGCGACACTGGGGATTGTCTTGCTTCAAGTGGTCCTGAAATTCAAACAACAGTGGGGATGGCTGAACGACTAGTCAGATTGTTAACTCAGCAAGGGACTTTGTGCCAGAGATGGCTGGGACTCTGCTCCTGGGCTGTCTTCAAAATTATTTCTACTTAAGCATTCAACACCTCAAAAGTGTGCCATGCGCTTGACGTTTTCTTTTTTTACTGTGAAATTTTTTACCATGCCATTTTTTAGTGTAAGTTAAAACATTAAAATTTGCATGCACATCACTTTTCCAAATTTCAAATAACTTGAAATAAATCATTTTTTTAATGAATGTGCAAACCAAAAGTGCCAGGAAGAGGGTTTGACTGCCTTTTTAATGAATGTGCAAACCAAAAGTGACAGAAGAGGGTTTGACTGCCTTTTTAATGAATGTTCCAACCAAAAGTGGCAGAAGAGGGTTTGACTGCCTTTTTAATGAATGTTCCAACCAAAAGTGACAGAAGAGGGTTTGACTGCCTTTTTAATGAATGTTCCAACCAAAAGTGACAGAAGAGGGTTTGACTGCCTTTTTAATGAATGTGCAAACCAAAAGTGACAGAAGAGGGTTTGACTGCCTTTTTAATGAATGTTCCAACCAAAAGTGACAGAAGAGGGTTTGACTGCCTTTTTAATGAATGTGCAAACCAAAAGTGACAGAAGAGGGTTTGACTGCCTTTTTAATGAATGTGCAAACCAAAAGTGACAGAAGAGGGTTTGACTGCCTTTTTAATGAATGTTCCAACCAAAAGTGGCAGAAGAGGGTTTGACTGCCTTTTTAATGAATGTTCCAACCAAAAGTGACAGAAGAGGGTTTGACTGCCTTTTTAATGAATGTTCCAACCAAAAGTGACAGAAGAGGGTTTGACTGCCTTTTTAATGAATGTGCAAACCAAAAGTGACAGAAGAGGGTTTGACTGCCTTTTTAATGAATGTGCAAACCAAAAGTGACAGAAGAGGGTTTGACTACCTTTTTAATGAATGTGCAAACCAAAAGTGACAGAATAGGGTTTGACTGCCTTTTTAATGAATGTCCCAACCAAAAGTGACAGAAGAGGGTTTGACTGTCTTTTTAATGAATGTGCAAACCAAAAGTGACAGAAGAGGGTTTGACTGCCTTTTTAATGAATGTTCCAACCAAAAGTGACAGAAGAGGGTTTGACTGCCTTTTTAATGAATGTTCCAACCAAAAGTGACAGAAGAGGGTTTGACTGCCTTTTTAATGAATGTTCCAACCAAAAGTGACAGAAGAGGGTTAGACTGCCTTTTTAATGAATGTGCAAACCAAAAGTGACAGAAGAGGATTTGACTGCATTTTTAATGAATGTGCAGACCAAAAGTGACAGAAGAGGGTTTGACTGCCTTTTTAATGAATGTTCCAACCAAAAGTGACAGAAGAGGGTTTGGCTGCCTTTTTAATGAATGTGCAAACCAAAAGTGACAGAAGAAGGTTTGACTGCGATGAAGCTGTAGTGAATTAAACCATTTCTGCCACCTCAAACTAAACTGGTTATTTGAGCGTATCGACCCTGCAACCAAAATCCGCCCTCCCATTGTTATTTCACAGTAGCTTAAAAAAAGCCAGAATCCCCCAAACACATGCCAATCTGCAAAATCAAAATCTGTACAAAAAGGCCTTAAAAAAACTGTCCAACAGCATGGAAAAAAAAATACAACAGCATGGTAAAAACTGTCCAACAGCATGGAAAAACGATACAACAGCATGGAAAAAACAGTACAACAGCATAGAAAAAACTAATACTTGGAAAAACTGTACAACATGGAAAAAAACTATACAAAAACATTGAGAAAACTGTACAGCAACATGGAAAAAAACTGTACGACAGCATGGAAAAAAACTGTAGGAAAAGAAAATATAAGGAAAAAAAAATTATAATTAATAACTTTTTGATTTAATTATTAATATTTTGAATGTATGCAACCAATCTCTTTTTTTGGGTTCATTTCTGGATTTGTTTAAAAACCAAAAAAAGTGATATTGTTTATATTGCACTGTAAAATAGATGTGACTGCTTCAACTTTCAGCCTATTACTGCATTCTTTTGGACATGTTTTCACATTGAGTATGATGACCGTAGGCTGCATTGCTGTGAGGCAAGCCAAGGTCTTTTTATATTGATGGAGAGACTGGGAAATCTCAGCCTGCCACAGGTTTTTGTAAGGGGCATCACATCATGCCAATGGTTTGTAAAACTTAGATCAAATTTTACAGTTGGAAGGCTTCCTTCCGCCCGTGGGTGTCGAATTCAAACGTCCTCTTTCTTCAGTCATTTAATTGGAAGTTTCCAGCAAGAGAAGAGGGACAAAAGGGAAAAATAAAATAAATAATTCAAACTGTTGTCTGCTTTTAAAACTTGTACAACAAAAATCTCACCAACTTAAGTTTAAGAAACCAATAGCACATAAAATAAAGTCAAGCCACATGAATAAATAGACATAATGACCAAGTCAGTGATACCAAAAGTCAAACCAAAGGAAGAAATCGGCATAATGACCAAGTCAGCAATACCAAACATCAAGCTATAGGAACAAATAGGCACAATGACCAAGTAAGTGATACTAAAAGTCAAACCAAAGGAAGAAATAGGCATTATGACCAAGTCACTGACACTAAAAGTCAAGCCATAGGATTAAATAGCCATAATGACCAACTAAGTGATACTGAAAGTCATGCCACAGGAATAAATAGTAGGCAAAAGTCAGTGATGCCAAAAGTCAAGCCATGGGGACAAATAGTCATAATGACCAAGTCTAATGCTGTCCATTGTCATTGACACTAAATATATTTAATTATTTAACAGAAACTAAAAGAACACCAGCTGACATTACAGATCTTGATAAGAATGCCGCCAACAGATGTGTAATTATTGTTTACTGTTAACTAAAATTTCCTCAAAGTGGTTACTATTGCACAGCCTTGTCCATTTAAAAAAAAGAAAGGGACTTCCAGCAACAAGCTACATTGAGGATCATTATGTAGATCAGTACAGTCCAACCTTTTAGACTACATTGGTAAAAAAAAAAAAAAAAATTACTTGAACCCAAGGACAGCAAATGACAACTCAAAAGTAAGATTTAGATTTTTTTTATTTTACTTTTTAGAAAATTATTCATATCATTAATAATTATCACCTTACTCATAAAGAGGCATGCTTCAAATAGAATTTTTGGCTCGTCAAGAATACAGATAAAGAGAATAAAAACTGTAGCACTTCTTAATGAGATATTGTGCTTACGATTGTACTTGCAGTTTTCATGATTTGAGATAGTTATCAGTAGCACCTGCCCTCATGGGATTTTCTAAATGTTCACTAGTCAAAGTGTTACATTTTTGGACTTGTTGGGGCTTCCAGAGAATCCAACTTCCCTGATGCAGGGTGCTACCAAAAACATAATAAAATGTTTTTTTCATTTGCATAGTTTTGGAAATTCACCACAAGAAACATACATCATCCAGGATTTATTTGGCCACAAATGGCAAATTTGTTTTAAAATAAAAAACTACTTTCCAGAATCGTTCCTACTGTCTCTCACAATTTCTCCCAGACTGAATTGAACAAACACAGCTTGTATCCTGCTTTTTATCACAATCCTGCTGTCTCTCATAATTCTGCTTTTTCTCACAATCCTGCTATCTTTTACAATTCCCCCGTGACTAAATTGAACTGACTACAAACAAACAAAGCTTGTATATTGCTTTCTGCTCACTGAATGTCTCATACTCTGATCTCTGAATAACCCCTACATGTCCCCAACGTCACAACAATACAGTCTGGACACAAACTCTCCCATAACCTGTCTGGAATACCTGTTCAAATAATATAGTACCATAAATGGTTCACACTGCCCACCCGTGGTCATTCCAATTGTCACACATTTGGCACCCCAGCTCCCGCAAGGCGCAGTAGCTTAGTTGTGGTGCTCATCTAACTTGGTCCCGTTGGTGGGGGGGGGACATTTTCACAATGACCAAAGACACATCCTGTTACTCTTGGTGTCCCTATTCATCATTCCCAACGACATCAGTAATGAATCATACCCAGTACCCCATGATGCCTCCCCTGTGCAAGCAACAAGAAGGAGGAGAATATAGTACCCTATTTTATGTTAACAAAGTTTCCAAATGATTGCTCTGCTGATGTGCTTAAAATTAATTACTGCTACACAGTGACACTCAAGTTAATAAAACTCAAAACTCTTAGACATTTATCATTTACATTTTTTTTACCTTGTCGTAGTGTGTCTGCATTTCAAATGGGTTGTCAAAGTCCCTGTTGCATTTTAGGCACCCTGCAAGGTTACCAGAGTCCAAGTCAACAACCCACTCTGGGTATAGGTGTCTGTTGATGTGCAGCATGGTCCTGACATTATTATACAGCACCTTGCCACAGTGAAAACACTAGAAACAAAAGAGTAAGCATTGGCAGATGCAGTTAAATAAAGTGTTCATTTAGTCACTGTCCCTGTAAGCTGTCTTTTTTTTTTTAACTTACTGGTACTTTAAATTTGATTTGAAAGCTTTTGTTTCAATCTGATGTAAAAATTGAACGGGAAAAAAAACAAGACTAATGTATCACAGCACCTTACAGTGAGACCTCTGCTGTTACATGATATTTGGGTTCCCTAAAATCGAATAACGTTGGAATGTTGTTTTTTTTAAAAAGTAGGAAGATAGGTCATTTGATTAAAACAAAAGAATGCTTTTATGTCTAGTGGTTGGTCAGCTATGTGCTGTTGATGATGGCTAGTTTTAGTGGATTTGCGATTGTGTTGTATAAGAATATCAAGTTTTATAATTTTTTTTCTTCATGTGCTTGCCAAAAATATAACTATCTGCAACTGAATATATGAAATTCTGTGAGCCTTCCCATGACAGTGTTGTAGTAGGGTAATTCTGTGAGTCTTCCCACGACAGCGTTGTAGCGGGGTAATTCTGTGAGCCTTCCCACGACAGCGTTGTAGCGGGGTTATTCTGTGAGCCTTCCCATGACAGCGTTGTAGCGGGGTTTCCCGTACTTTGAATGCCAAGCTTCATTCAAATAATGACAATACCAAATAACACCAAACCCCCCGCCCCCATAACAGCTAATCTTTTTTTATTATGAGATTTCACAGACATTTCACAGCTGGAAAAATCAAAACTCACTTCAAATCTAAAACTGTCCTTCTCTTCTTGGTAGTTAGGAACTCCTTCCAACCTGCCATAATAGTATTCATCCAAAGCCACAGAGATTCCTTAGATTAAGAATAATACACATCACAAGACTTGCTTTTAAAACTGATCGAATACAATACACCTAATGAAAGTAAAAACTAAATAATGAAGGTTGAAGTGACAAAAGGAACATTTTGAATTGTGATTGAAAATCCTAAAGCTGTAAGTAAGAAAAGTTATACATGATACGATATCATAATCTTAACACTGCTTAAATCATCTTTTTACCACTGCTTACATCATCCTCTTACACTGCTTTAACCATCATCATTCTACCACTACTTACACCATCATCTACCTCTGCTCAAACCATTATCTTACCACTGTAGGTGGGATGGACAGTATGAAACTAAATCATCATCTTAACACTGTGGGTGGGAAGGATTATATGAAACTAAATCATCATCTATAACTGTAGGTGGGAAAGATTATATGAAACTAAATCATCATCTTAACACTGTGGGTGGGAAGGATTATATGAAACTAAATTATCATCTATAACTGTAGGTGGGAAAGATTATATGAAACTAAATCATCATTTTACCGCTGTACGTGGGAAGGATTATACAAAACTAAATCATCATCTTACCGCTGTAGGTGGGATGGATAGTATGAAACTAAATCATCATCTTACCGCTGTACGTGGGAAGGATTACATGAAACTAAATCATCATCTATAACTGTAGGTGGGAAAGATTATATGAAACTAAATCATCATTTTACCACTGTACGTGGGAAGGATTATACAAAACTAAATCATCATCCTACCGCTGTATGAGGGAAGGATTATTTGAAACTAAATCATCATTTTACCACTGTACGCGGGAAGGATTATATGAAACTAAATTATCATCTTACCGCTGTATGTGGGAAGGATTATATGAAACTAAATTATCATCTTACCGCTGTATGTGGGAAGGATTATACGAAACTAAATCATCATCTTACCACTGTAGGTGGGAAGGATTATACGAAACTAAATCCTCATCTTACCGCTGTACGTGGGAAGGATTATGCAAAACTAATTCATCATCTGACCGCTGTACATGGGAAGCATTATATGAAACTAAATCATCATCTTACCGCTGTACGTGGGAAGGATAATACGAAACTAAATCATCATCTTACCTCTGGGTTTTGGCCTGCGGGTTTTCCTTTTCTTGAGGTAAGGTTTTGTCTTTTTGTATTGCTGAATTCTTTGGCCAGAATGAAAAAATAAATTCAGCAATAAACAAGACAGCACACAGAATTTTGTGAGCGAAAAAACACCTTAAAATATTTACACAAAGGAATTGATGTTAAAAATAAGTGCCTCAATAAACAGGAATAACCCGAGTTTTGTTGAAAGCACCATTAAATCAATACACCACGAGGTAATTTAATGTTAAATTTGAGCTAACCATACTGAAAAAGTCGTAGATTAAAACAAATGCAGCCATCCATACAGTATGTACACACTGAATATAAAGGAGAAAAATGAAAAATGGTTGGGGGTGGATGTGTCCCCAGATCATTCATTTTAGTTGGGTGCGGTCCCGGTCAAGATTCGTAATAACCGGAGAGAGAATTTGATTCAACATATTTTTTTTTAAATGAAGATCAAAATTGACTGGGGGTGGTGGGGTCCCAAGGGGTGGTGGGGTCCCAAGGGGTGGTGGGGTCCCAAGGGGTGGTGGGGTCCCAAGGGGTGGTGGGGTCCCAAGGGGTGGTGGGGTCCCAAGGGGTGGCGGGGTCCCAAGGGGTGGTGGGGTCCCAAGGGGTGGCGGGGTCCCAAGGGGTGGTGGGGTCCCAAGGGGTGGTGGGGTCCCAANGGGGGGGGGGGGGGAGATCAAAATCGACCAATTGAATGTATTTACTGTAACAAGTATGTTAAATACCATAACAACCTATCTCAGGTGAAAAGTTGATACTTTAGTGCTTCCAATTTACAACCTTGAAAGATCAAACTTAGCTGATTTTCTTTGACTGGTAAAGTAGTGATGGAACTGTTCTGTTAACACACTCATTTGCACATATGTCAAATATGCTGCTTGAAAAAGCTGGATATGGGGGGGGGGAATGTTTTTGTTGTGTAATGGGCCATATCACCTTAACATAGTCTTGGCTGGTAAACATATGGAGGCTTTACTGGGCCACATTACCTTAACGAATATGATGATGATATGGGCTTGACGGGTGCCCATTTTAAAGGGAGCTGCACCTCATGGCCTTGGGTAAGGAGCTGCACCCCATGCCCTTCAGTTGGGAGCTGCACTCCATGGCCTTCAGTTGGGAGCTGCATTCCATTTCCTATAGTTGAAAGTTGATTGCCATGACCTTGAATAGGGAGTTGAAATACAAGACCTTGAGTAGTGAGTTGCACATCATGACCTTGAGCAGGGAGCTGCAACCCATAACATTGATTAGTGAGATGCCCCACATGACCTTGAATAGGGAGCTTCACCCCATGGCTTTGAGTAAGGAGTCGCACCAAATGACCTTGAGTAGGAAGTTTCACATCATGGCCATGAGTAGGGAGCTGCACCAAATGACCTTGAGTAGGGAGCTGCACCAAATGACCTTGAGTAGGGAGCTGCACCAAATGACCTTGAGTAGGGAGCTGCACCAAATGACCTTGAGTAGGGAGCTGCACCAAATGACCTTGAGTAGGGTGCTTCCCACCATTGCCTTGAGTAGGGAGCTGCACCAAATGACCTTGAGTAGGAATGTTCACACCATGACCTTGAGTAGGGAGCTGCACCAAATGACCTTGAGTAGGATGCTTCACACCATTGCCTTGAGTAGGGAACTGAACCAAACCTTGAGTAAGGAGCTGCACCAAATGACCTTGTGTAGGTATGTTCCCACCATGACCTTGAGTAGGGAGCTGCACCAAATGACCTTGAGTAGCTAGCTGACCAACAAATGTTTGAGTAGGGTGCTGCGCCCCACCACCCTGAGTAGGCTGTTGCACCACATGAACTTGAGTGGGGAGTTGCACCCCATGACCCTGAGAAGGGAGCTGGAAAATGTGACCTTGAGTAAGGAGCTGAAATTCATGACCTTTAGTAGGGGGCTGCTCGCTATGTCCTTGAGTAGGGGAATGCACCTGTTTGCCTTGAGTAATGGTACCATGTACATTTGTGGCTAGGAAGGAAAGTAGATTGTCATTGATTAGGTCAAGACGCTTAAGCTAAAATCAATATGAGAAGGAAAAAATCAATAGTCTAAACCAGAAATGTCATTTGGTGAGATACTTGTATCATTTAAGTATGAAACCCAAGCATATGCCAGAAATGTCATTTAGTGAGATATTTGTATCATTTAAGTATGAAACCCTAGCATATGCCAGAAATGTCATTTAGTGAGATATTTGTATCATTTAAGTATGAAACCCAAGCATATGCCAGAAATGTCATTTAGTGAGATATTTGTATCATTTAAGTATGAAACCCTAGCATATGCCAGAAATGTCATTTAGTGAGATATTTGTATCATTTAAGTATGAAACCCAAGCATATGCCAGAAATGTCATTTAGTGAGATATTTGTATCATTTAAGTATGAAACCCAAGCATATGCCAGAAAGTTGCACATTATTCTATCTCTCCAAAATAAAATTTAAAAATAATTTAACTTTAACCTTATAATTAAGACCACAAGTTTTAAAAGTATGGTGGCTGTATGCTACCTAATGTGCTGTATGATAGTTGTATGCTAACTAATGTGCTGTATGATGTTTGTATGCTACCTAATGTGCTGTATGATAGTTGTATGCTAACTAATGTGCTGTATGATGTTTGTATGCTACCTAATGTGCTGTATGATAGTTGTATGTTAACTAATGTGCTGTATGATGTTTGTATGCTACCTAATGTGCTGTATGATAGTTGTATGCTACCTAATGTGCTATATGATGGTTGTATGCTACCTAATGTGCTGTATGATAGTTGTATGCTAACTAATGTGCTATATGATGGTTGTATGCTACCTAATGTGCTGTATGATGGTTGTATGCTAACTAATGTGCTATATGATAGTTGTATGCTAACTAATGTGCTATATGATAGTTGTATGCTAACTAATGTGCTATATGATAGTTGTATCCTACCTAATGTGCTCTATGGTGGTTGTATCCTACCTAATGGGCTATATGATGGTTGTATCATATCTAAAGTGCTATATGATGGTTGTTTCCTACCTAATGTGCTATATGATGGTTGTATGCTACCTAATGGGCTATATGATGGTTGTATCCTACCTAAAGTGCCATATGATGGTTTTATACTAACTAAAGTGCTATATGATGGTTGTATCCTACGTAATGTGCTATATGATGGTTGTTTTCTACCTAATGTGCTATATGATGGTTGTATTACTTGTATCCTACCTAATGTACTATATGATGGTTGTATTCTACCTAATGTGCTATATGATGGTTGTATCCTACCTAATGTGCTATATGATGGTTGTTTTCTACCTAATGTGCTATATGATGGTTGTATTCTACCTAATGTGCTATATGATGGTTGTATCCTACCTAATGTGCTATATGATGGTTGTGCCTACCTAATGTGCTGTATGATGGTTGTATGCTAAATAATGTGCTCTATGGTGCTTGTATCCTACCTAATGTGCTCTATGATGGTTAGATGCTCACCAATATGCTCAAACCTTATACCGTATAGCATTTACCAATTTAAGCTTACTATTATTTATTTTTTTAACAATTTGACAGAATATACAAAAATCCCTAACCCTTGAAATAAAAATACTCCAACATTTAAAAAAAAAAAAAAAAAAAAAAAAAAGAAAAAAAAAAAAAAAACCCCAAACCATAAAAAAAAAAAAACCCAACAATTAAAAAAAAAAAAAAAAAAAAAAGCCTAAAGAAGAAATGTATGTGTCTACCTTTAGCAGGTGGTTGGCTTGTTAGACCAGGTTCTCTCCTGCCTAGTTGGCTCGTTAGAGTAGGGTTTCTCGTGCTAAGTTGACTTGTTAGACAAGGGTCTCTCATGCTGATGACAATAGGCTGGATAAAAATGCAAGGCAAGAGCATAAGTGGAATACTTTAAGTTAAGAAATGATTTTTTTTATTTTAAAAAAAAATTTAAAATTCTTAACTGTCTCAACAATGGAGCGCCTTCGCTAAATGCCACCTCGAGACAACTCCCGACAATGTGCCACCTTAACACACAAATTATTTCTATTTTTTTCATTGTTATACATTAACCTAAAAATTGTTGCCCCCACCCTGCCCAACCCTAGCCACTGGCTGCCAACATAATAAGTCATTCATGTACTTACAGAGGATGATCTCTCGGTCTGTGTATTGGCTATATGGACAAATTTGGTCACAGAATGGTGACTAGCACTGTTTGGAACAAAAAGATGTCTATTTAAAATTTAATTTGGTCAGCCATTTATTACACACATGATTTTTTTTTTTTAAATATTTTCTGCACAGTAGTTATGAGAAATGGAATAAGATGTAGGAAAATAATTCTTTTTAAAATAAAACTACCCTGAAGATTAATTACGGTAATACATTTTCCTTTTTAGTTTTTTTTTTTTTAAAAATTCCTCTGATGTGTTGTATTTTGTGTTTTATTTAAATCAATAATTTTTATGTGCTGCTGTATCTGAGAAGAGATAAATTTCCTTACATTTATTAAGTAAAGTTGAAATAAAAAAACATAAATATATATTTTTGAGACTTAAAAACTTTAAAAACTTTCAAATTCCAATTTTTAGTAAGTGGGCGAATCTCAACATTTCGAGAATCTGTACTAAATACAATTATCCCAGCTTGTTGTCATGCCAACACATAAAGGAAAAAGGTAATGTAGATAGTGTTCACCTCCAGTTTAAAGTTAAAATGAGAGAGTGAACCAAACATTTTTTTTAATGCAAAGGGTAACAAGTGAGCATCAAAGTTTGACAAAAAAGCATTAGCTCAAGCAGGATTGTAAACCACTACCCCTGTTTATTGATGTATTTTTATTTAAAGATTTTTTACACTGGGAAAAATTACTGTATGATGTATGTTACTCTACAGCCAACAAAAGTAATAACAATTTTGTGGTTGTGAATGAGTTGCAATTGAGGCTGAAAAATTGTATGGATGCCCAAGAAGGTATTGGACATAAATTATACCCAAAATTATGCCCAAAACATTGACTCGGGCTAAAAGTAATTTTCCATGTTAATTTGCAACTAAACCATTTAACTTTTTATTGGAGCTTAAAATCTTGATGCTGATTGATTGATTTTGATATTTATATTGCGCTGGTATCCATGCCATTTTACCATGCTCACTGCTCTCTGTAAAATTCAACCCCCCCCCCCTTTTCACAAACCAATGTTTGTTCAGATTAATATATAAAATCATAAAATCTTTTCAAATGAAAATTTAAAATGAATGAACTAAAAAAGAAACACCAGTTATTAAAAAAAAAATTTATTTCTATAATGAGCAGAAATGTTCTTTTCAAATGTAGAGTACAAGAAACACAAGCAAACAAAAAAGATGCATATGAACTTATTCTTAAGCCAAAATTTTTAAAAAAATAATATTTTAGAGAAAAAAAGTGGAGCAGTTGGCTCATGAGCTGGAAAAAGGTGATTTTTTAAATAATTTTTCCATGTAAAATTAATAATGAAATGTTCATTATAAATCACCAAGGTCCTAATCTACTGTACATGGATGGACACATTGCAGCCTGCCAAGATGTTTGATGCAAGACATTTTGAGAACTTGATTAATGTTTTTTTTTTTATAAAATGTACACATTTTCAAATGTTTTTTCTTTTGAAACCCTGAAAATTAAAAAGGCTGAGCAAAATTGTCATTTACCCTTTAGAACAAGTATTTATATACGGTACTGCTTTTCGGTAAAAATAGAAATTTGTTTACTGGTTACCAAAATTTATAAAGGGTCAGAATAATTGTCTGAGATTTCAGCTGGTTACAAAAACTGCAGTTGTGGATAATTTAAATTAGCTTAGTTTTCCTTTTTTTTTTTTTAAATTTTTTAAAAGATCTCATTGAATAGAATCATTATTTAAGATGCTTTCTAATAACCTAAACTATAAGAAATTTCTCTCCACAAGCACAGAATCTTACCTAGGGAGGATTATCTTTTCATCTGTAGAGCTGGTAGTAGACTTTTCATTCTGGGTAAAAATTCTCTTGTTTTCTTCTGCTTTAACTTTTTGCAAGTTTTCATAATATTTGCTAAGTAAACTCATTTTAGCTGCTTGAATGTTTGCAATTAAGGCTATTTAAAAGTTCTATAGTGCAGTTTTTTTAATGTTTTATTTTGTGTTGTCCTTTCCTCATCCGCAATTTAAGATGTGCGGCACATTTTTGCTAATGCTGAATATTTCTTCTCAGTTGCGTGTGCGTTTTGTTTCTTTTTTATCACTGCAAATAGAGGAGCAAAATTGATATTTCACACATAAAATAAAACATACCTATTTATATATTAGCTTGTCACAGGAATTATGAACATATAACAATATAACTCAATAAAACAAAGTCAACAAAATTACTTAGTCTTGTTCATACCTTACAACAGAAGTTTCACTTTAAAACCTCAAAGAAAGTTAATGGACAT